TTATGAATTTTATACATTTAGGATAATTAACAAGGCGGATAGAACCTTTATACCCTCAAAATAAAGACTGCATCATATTTATCACTGTTATGATAAGAACAGACAAGTTTAGCGAAACATACACAATATTTGAATCCTTTAGCTCACATCATCAAGTAACATATTAAGAACTTGATCACAAACTGTAAGAAAGTAAAGGAATAAACAGCAGTACCTGAAGTAGCTTCTCTACAGAGGAAGGATACAGGTACTGACTCAACCTTCCTCTTTCATCATTCAAACACCGTTCGACCTAACAATAGCACCTTTAATTAGAACAATAGTAGAGAAGACTTTTTTGTTAGAAATGAGAAATCCTATGAAAGAAACAAATTCATCCAGCACACTGCTATTTTCAAGACAAGCATAGAAACCTTCAATATATAATCTGCTGAAGAATAGCTAAGGAGCCACTCGGAGGCAAATCGAGAGTAGCAACTGTATGTATCTACAAGCAATTTCTCCTCAAACAAGTAATAGTACGTTCCTTTCTGTGGCCCGCCATTTTCCCAGAAAAATGTAGAGAGGCCCTGTAGTAGGCTCCTGTCAATTGGTTCCTCCCTACGGTCTTGACTTATCTACATGTGGCATACTGTAAATAACTAGCTGTTCATAGTTGGAATCAACAAACAAACTTGACATGCTACTTAAAATTACCAGTAAAAGTGCAGCATCAAAAAGTTTTGGAAGGAGATCACAGCAAACCTGAAATGGACAAATATAAATCAGTATATTACGAAGTTTCTGCGTCTCCAAAAAATTAACTAGAGATTTTCTGTAGAATATACAGAGACATTTACCCTATTCTGGAAACAAGAAAGAGCAACCTCTTTAAGGGGTGCAGAACTTTTCTGATCGCTGCATTTTCTATCAAGGTAAAGGAAAAACCCTCCAAGACACTTCACCATTGCTTTGTAATTTGCCCAGACACGTAAGAATTCAGCTAATAGAGAGGTACCACTCTTATCTTTCAGAAAAGGCAGAACCTAGAAGCAAAGTGAAAGTGATATTCAACACAGGATATTAGCCAGTGTAAGACAAGGAGAAGTTGCTAATAATAGACAAACCCATATTCATTACATTGCTTTACTACCAAGTGCAGATGCAGCTGAAAACTACTAAATGTTTTAGTCTGCAATCCATGGCCAAAGTTCAAGAGACAAGGAATCAAGGACCAACATTTTTCCCTTGGCAAAAATAATCTCTAGTCTAAAACTCATCATTTGAGAATATAAGTTCTCTAAATAATGTAATTTAGTCAAATCACACTTATAATGACAGAGGTCGACTGCGTCAAAGAGCATATTAGATCACTTACTAAACCTTACCACCGAGTATACTCTTAAACTTAAGCTGCTCAAATGGAACAGTGTTCTTTGAACAGCTGAGGCTCTGATAGTAATTCTCTTATTCTTTTCTCTTTGGTGTGTGTGTGAGTGAAAAAAGTTTTCCTTAGACAAGTCATCTTTGTTACTACAGAATTTCAGTTGCATATAGCTACAATATTACAAAGAAAAATCAATTTTGTGAAGCATTCTGTATCCAAATTAACCAGCAAACAGAAATAAACTGTACATCATTTGCATTCTACCTGTTCAAAATGTAAGAGTGACAACTTGTATGCTAATGACCAAAATAAGACAATAAGTTCATATTGAATTAAGATACTTTAGCAGATGTAGTATAGTTAGGATAACACTGAAGTTGTTTAGAGAAAATATGATTTTTTAATGAAGTTTCTCACTGATGGTCCATAAACTAACCTTGAAGTATATACTCTCATCCAAGACAGCATGATACCTTTGAAGAAGTTCTGCTGATAAATCATGTGGGGGAGGTCGAATACACAAGAGATAAACACAGCTATCAAGTGTTAAAGATGTAAACTGCAAGGGAAAATAATAGCACCAGATTTTCTGGGACTATTATTACATTATTACCACCTAAGAATTAAACAAACAGGACAAGTATAAAGGCAAAAATAATAAAAGATATGCTAACACATCACTTGGATCATTAGTGAAAGGAACATAGTCTTAGATCTAATTAATTTGGGTAGTACTCCGATGCAACTAAAGAAAATAATGGAAAAACTGACCCTCATGGTAGTTTCAAGTAAAATTGACAGTTGCAAAATCAGCAAACACGGAAATCATTATCTTAGCTAATAAACTGGTAGAAGCCATGCAGATGTTGACATTCAAACAAGTTGGGTGAATGTACATGCATGAACTTCTCTTGCATCTCTTTTTTTGCACACATGGAGATTAAAATGGTATTTCAGACAGTAAAACAGTAAATCATTTTGATTAAACCTATATGCATATTACTTGAACAAGCCATGGTTGTTGTTGTACTCATGATTACCATCAGCTTAATGTAAAACAAATTAGAATACCAACAAGGAAAATACAAACAGAAAGGATCGAACAAACAGCCGAAAGAAAGGGAAACACTAACATCAATACCTACTACTACTACACTTCAGTCCCAAACGAAGTTGGGGTCAGCTATCTGAATCTTCATAATCTTGTTACTTCATTTAAAAGGAAACCGCAATAACAATAAAAACAAAACCAAATAGATCATACAATGTCGTCTACCAATGATACACAGCAAATTGATTGACATAAAGACACAAAAATCATCTTTGGTAATTCCAAAATCCAAGCAAAGTTCATCTTCATCAGGCTAAAACCAAGAAACAAAAAGATTTGAACCATCATTAGCTAATCAAAGTATTAGTTTCTGCCACTCGCCTCAGGGAATTCTCAGTCATAATTTTTTTTTAAAAAAACACATCTCCATTCTCCCCTCAAAACATAGTGTAATACTACTAGCAATAAAAATAAGGCAAACCATAACAAATTTCCAGGATACTCATAATATCTCATGTATTCTTCTGATGTTACCAGCTTACTGGCAGGGTAACCATCCATAATCAACTTCACTTTCGTAATGCCCTCCTCTAACGTCTTCATGCTCTCATCTAGCCTCTTTGCATTACTCATTCTCTCAATTCTTCCACCTATTCAAATTTCAACAAAACAACCACAACAATCAACAACAACATACCCAATGTAATCCCACAATGGACCCTGAGGAAGGTAGATTATACACATTACTCACCCCTACCTCAGCGAGCGGGGTTTTTACCTGTACGCACCCAAAGGGTACTGGCTGCCAGTTTCCATTGTCATATAAAAACAATATAAGAAAAATATATGTAAACCCTAAAAAGTACAAAAGAACACGCACAGGGTACATCAACTCACATAATCCCTACACATTCATTCATCAGTTCAGATACACTAGTATATCACAATTTAATATGCTTTATCAACCCAGTTATACAATTGTAAACACTAGTATATATTTATTGGAACGATCATTACTGTATACATGTACATTAAAAGAAGAAGATCAAGAACACGAATAGAACGAACGATGAATCACTGAAAATTATCGAAAATTAATAGAAAACAGAGAGAAAATCAGGCGAATCAGAGTGTTACCGATTAGGGTTTATGAGAGGGAATGGAAGGAAGTTTTGTACTTTGCTTGGACGTCTGTTTCTATATGATGAATGCATGAAAACTGGGGAAAAAGCGAAATATAAGTAAAGTTGAAAGCTGATTTTCCAGTTGTAGAAAACAAAACGGTGTCGTTCTGTTCTGGGTAAACTCTCCATAATTATATTGGGACATTCGGCGCATGCTTAAAATGTGGAGTAATTAGATTATTATTTTGTTACACCTTAAATGAAGCAACAATTATTCACTTTAGACTAGCAAATATGTCATGTTTCTTTCCCACCTACTTTATTGTACAGCATTTACACATATTAATCTTTCATATAATTGACAGCCGGAATGAAGGGTTTGCGAGGAAGAATCAATGGTCAATGGTTCTACAACTGCAATAGCACTTACTAAAAAGACTATTCTACGACCAGCCATCTCCTTAATTACACTTTCGACATGGACAATATAATCATCGAAATTCCACAAGTATAATTGGAACCTCTATTTTTGTAGGATAGAGATGTTGTTTAATACTCCCTCTGTTTCAATTTGTTTGACCTAGTTCATTATTAGTTTCTTTCAAAACGAATGACCTTTTTCCCTTTTTAGCAACTCTTTGATTTAAACTTTTCAAATGATATATTTAAAATCACAAAAGTTAATGACAGTTTAATACATTTAGAATATCTTTAATTTAAGACCACAAGATTTAAAAGTTTTCTTTCCTTTCAATTTTTATAAACTTCGTGCCAAATTAAAATAGGTTAAACAAATTGAAAAGGAAAAAACAATTTATAAATTGAACATAATAATTTGGCCGTACTGGAATTTCAAACGAAAACACCTGGCTTATCAAGTGGGACCCACTCCAACAACTAGATCGATTTAGTACTTGAAAAGATAGTAGAATAGAAGCAATAATAAGAGAATAATAATGAGACTTGACATGATATATGAATAAAAATGACAAAACACATATGCCTAGATATCTTGCTACAAGTGTAGTGTCCCATCAAACTATGACAGGGAGATTTCTTTATTAGTGCTCGTGTAAGAACGTGTCGATTAGTGCAAGACAAGGATCCAGGTAAAGTAGAATAAAATGATCTTTCTTTATATTATTCCCCCAAAAGTGGCATAATCCTCTGCACTTTATTATATGTAAAAGAAAAAATTTCCTCTTCCCAACGAACTTGTCGAACCTCTTTACCTTCACAAGGTAGGGATAAGGCTGCATATACACCACCATCCCTAGACTCCACTTGTGGAATGAACCTGTCGTGCCTTTGCTTAACCTCACTCATCAAGGGTTCTACAGTCAAAAGTCCAGTTTATCAGCTCAGTAATGATGGTAAAGAAGACACCATTATTTCCAATTAATTGACAAAGTGACCATATTTGAATCCAGAAAATACGCGCATCTTCATTTGAGTTAACTTGTAATATGAGTTACAAGTTTACAAATATAAAAGTAAATGGTTATTTGGCCACAGATACAATGGGACAAACTCTAATCTGTGAAAACGTTGTTTCTACGTCCATTCTGTTGCATAAACAAAAGAAGAAAACAAGAATCATGGTAATATTCCGTCACAACAGAGAAAGGAACGAGATTTTATCAACAACAGCTAAGATTAAAATTCATTTAAAGAGCTAACTATAGTACAAGGATGGGCACTTCGTTAAATATAAACATCTTCTTCAGGTTTGACTTTGTCTAATAACCTTGATTCCACTAGCATATGTGCATAGGTACGTTGTGCTTCTTTCAGCTCCTTCCGAAGCTTATTAACCTGCAACAACCACATGAAAAAGACATATGATGATTTTCATTTTGAAATCAGGTATTGCTTTCAACTACTGACGAGTTAATAAAGGAGACAAGTTTACTTAATCACACCTTTGAATGAAGTTCTTCCTCCCTCTTCTCACATTCCGAGCACCTGGGACAAGAACAAAGTAGTCACACAAATATATTTTACGGACACACAATGGTGCTGCAAACACATACGTGTGTGTGTTTATTTGACTTTGATAGTAATTGAATTTAATATTTTCCTACGGGACAATACAAAAACTATACCCTTCAACATGTTATATTTTTCAATTACACACTTAAACTTGAGAAGTCCTATATAACCCTCCCTAAACTTGTCTGAAGTAGAATCATTATCCCTGAGACAAAAACCATATTTAAATGGAACAATGCAAGTCATGCACTACCCTTGTTCTAACTGAAAGAACTTCCTGCGCAATTCATGCCTGAAGTCTGCAAGCAAATTCTAGTTTCGGGGTCGCCAACCCTTGTTTTCTCATCTTATTTTCATCCTGCTTCTGGTCCTCTTCTACATTGATTTTTTACTATAACTGTCATTACTGAAAATGTGATTTTTTTCCCTCCTTTTTTCTCTTCTTTTTTACCCTTATCTCTGGTCATCTTCTAAATTGACTTTTTTACTATAATTGTCATCTTCTACACACTCCAATGTTCCAAAGATTTGAAAAGAAACCCTTAAATCTATCACCTTTTCCGTGAAAAACATACCCCGATATCCACTTTTTGACCGGGCAAACACCAACATTTCCGGTGAAAAAATGGTCTGTAACTCTCAAGTGCTTAGACCTTGAACAGAGCTCTTCATGGTCGCCATACCCACTGCTTCTCAAGAGAGGTATTGTTTTTTTGGTATTAAGTGTGAAGGAATGGGTTTTCTTAACCGGTTACGGTGTATAATGAACATGGTCTCTGCGTTTAATGGAAAATGGGTCTATTCGGAGTGGATTTTGCTTGGCCTTAGTGCTAAGGTACTTGGTGAGAAGTTAATATGTGCTTATGCCACATATTGGAATGTTATGCAAGTTTTAAAATAGGAATAGCTTTCCATATGATCTGTTGAAGACATGATTAAGTAAATAAAGTGTGTTTTCTCTAATAAAACTTAAGTTTTTTGATAAGGTGGTCACACACTTCAATATGTTGTCAGAGATAGCAGAGATCCTTAGGTTCAAGTCTCATCGCCACCCATCAACCTAAAAATCAAATTCCCATGCTCGGCTCATAAATAAGAAAATCAAGCTCCCACGTGAGGGACGTGTTGAAAACATAATTAAGTAAATAAAACTGTGGTCTCTAAGAGTTAAAGCTAAGGTTTTAGATGAGATAACACACTTCAATATAGTCAAAGCATGTTTTGACATGACTTGGTACATCACGTTTTCCTACTACTGTCTTGAACATCTCATTGCGCAAGGCCTTCTCTTCTAACAATCTTTGCTCATCTACCTTCTCTTCTAACAATCTTTTGCTTATCTATGAAAGTTGCTATAGGAGAATTTCTAATCGGAATTAGATTGGAAAAAAAAAAAAAAAGAGGTCAAAATTATTGGAACAGGATTTGGAATACAAAGGTACAGTCCAAAGACAGGAAAAAACAGGGGAAAAGACCTAGCATAAAAAACTGAGTGTCTGTGCAATATGGAGAAAAATTTATGGAATGTGTATGCGTGAGCAGGAATTTTCCTTTGAAACTGAGTGTGTGTTTATTATTATTTTCTCCAAAAGAAGCTTTCCTCTGTGTTTGAGTAAATGGGGTGTGAAGACATGACGCTGGTGTGTTAATCACTTGATGGAGGAGTGATAGAGCACAAAGTTGCCAGAAATGGCTTTTTTCGACAAGTACTATCAAAATATATTTCTAACCATAACAAAATTTTGAAAAAAGAGACGGGAGGACATCTGTTTTTTTGGCCTTCATTTTTCAACTTTTCACAAACTCAGTGGAGGTGCGTAGAATTTCTTTGTCAATGATAGCGCTCAAGGGTGTAAAATTCCACTACGGATAAACGTGAGGGTTATAGGTCTCCCGCAAGTTAAGTATGTAGTTCATAATTCAGCCAAAATTGAAAGGGCAATTTATGTATTATCCCTAATTTTATATAAATATATTTCTATTTCTGCGTAAACACACTACCCCTCCATGGGCATCACAAGAAAGAGAGATGAGAAAAGAAAAGTTAAGTTGTCAGACCACAGAACGTGTTTGTCATCCTTGCATTTTCTTCTATTAACAAGATAAAAACATAATTTGGAAATCACATTATGAGAAGATGACAGACTCATTTATGAAGTACACTTACTGTGCGCGGAGCTTTTCATTCTCTTGAATGAGATGGGCAGCCTCTTGATCTTCTGAGCCACTTGAAGTGAGAGTCTACAATGGTCAAAAGGCAGAGATATTGAAAGGGAGAAGAAATAACACTAGAATACACTCATTATAAATGGCCATATCACTATGTCTCATCTTTGTCATCAGTCTTAGCTCTGCAGGCAAAGTAACTTATATGCAAGATAAGCAATTAAGGTCCATAATAAGATCATTAAGAAAAGATCGAGGAAAAATACCACATTAACCTGTAATTACTATTATTTTACAAATTCAAGACAACTTAGGTTCTGTTGGTACAAAGAGGAAAGTAGATGAAAACATTAAAGCAAGCACTGAGCAATGCACCCTGCAGGGAAACACTCTTCTAGCACAAAGTACAACGTATTTCTTCTGGTCCTATTGTGGGTTTCTTTTTTAAACGAAAATATCCCAAGGGCCAGTGGGGCACAGTTCAAAATTTGGTGGATAATGTGCTAGTCCCTCTATCTTTCTCCACTTAAATACCAAATTTTTTGCCAGCAATAAGTCTCTCCAGTCTCCACTAAAATACCGGACTTTTGCCTGCAATAAGTCTCAAGCCTATGACAATATCATACACTGTGTTTTTACCACTAGATCAAAGCCTTGGTGGGTTTTGGCATGTCAAAATAAAGATAAAGGAACTCAATCGTTCATAAAAGAAATAACAAATAACCCTTCAGTGATAGTCCCTTTTTATAGGAATTAATAGTCTTAGTTTAACAAGGTCATTTTCAGCAGTTAAGCTACCTCTTAAACTTAACATGCTTTCTATGGATAACATGCAAACATTATGCTAAGTAGATTTATCCCTTCCTCAAGTTATAACGCACATTCAACATGCAATCAATTGTCAAAAGCAAATATTAGGTCTGACGGAAAAACAGAGATGTGGTAATATGCCTAAACAATTTCACAAGCCAAATCCAAAAGTCAAAATATCTGATTTCAAGATACCCAGGAATAGGTGATGCCATGCTTTTTATGGATGCAACTCTATAAAACAGTACTAGTGAAAGGAGAAGAGAGCACACCGAAGAATACATACCAGAATTTCTTGACTTCGCTCACCACCAGTTAAATCAACTACTAGTCCCGCTGTCCGTTTCGAGTTTTCATGTTCTATTGGACGATCAACTGCTTTCCTTTTTGAAGCTCCTGAGGTTCAAAGCAGACAACAATATTGTCAACGGTTGAAAAAGTTTATACATGGTATTCCAACTTTAAAAAGTAAAAGATGGCGATTCATCAAATTTCAAAAAGTAAACGATGGTGATTCATATATCCAAGCAGGCAACTGCACAACATTGCATGAGTTTTGTAGGGATCACCACTACTGCATCATAACTAATAACTTCATAACAACATACCTAATGTAATCCCACAAGTGGGGGTTGGGGAGGGTAGAATGTACGCAGACCCTACCCCAACCTCGTAGAGATAGAGAGGTTGTTTTTGATAGATGCTCAACTTAAATAAAGAATTTCCAAACAGTTTGGAGAAGGGTAGACAGATATGAGAGCAATAACACAACGCATTAATAATGTGAAAGGGAGAGTATACAAAACAAACATAAGAAAGAACAGTAACGACAATGAAATAGTGTGATAGCCGGAGCATAAGAAACACAAGTGATAACCAAAATTGAATAACAAGAAACTATGAGAATAGTGCTAATACTACGTAAGAAAGAAGATCCAAGTATGACCACTAAGCTTATCCCGAAGGAAAGCGATATAACAATCAACTACCAACTAACCTTCTACCATAATCCGCGACCTTTGAACTCTCCTATATAAGGTCATGTCCTCGGTAAGCTCAAGATGTCCTGGATATCTTCCTAATCTTATCTCTCCTAGTATGCCCACACATCCACCTTAACATCCTCGTCACCCCAACTTTCATCTTCTGAACATGAGAGTCTTGACCGACCAACACCCTGCCCATACAACATAGTTGGTCTAACCACCACACTGTAAAACTTACCTTTAAGTTTTGGCGGAACCTTTTTATCACACAACTAATGACTTCCTAGCGTAATTAAATCACAACCTACAGAAATTTTGACAACGAAAAAAGGATACCCATTGCATATGCAATCATCTCACTTAGATAACTAATAAGGCACTATGATAACTCAATGGCAGGAAATGAAGCCAAAGCATTGAAATTTGAAGCGACAGTTAAGTTACGAAAGACAGTCAGCAAATGAAGCCAGAGATCGTGAATTTACAAGCTGTGGTTGGGGTATGAAAGTAAGTAAATTGGGGAACACTACAACCAACCACCATATATGTTAGAACCTTCACTGAGTAGTCATGAAGAACTGGAGGACATGGGCAGAGAATATACTGCCACAAACACCAATATTTCCAACATAGCCAACTTATGTGGCAGAGATGTGTTCAGCAGTAATGAACCCCAGAAAATGCATGTTAGACATCCACCACAGGATCTTCCATCATTATTAGGCCTAAAACCCCGACACTATATAGGAGCAACGAAACTATATATTCAAGCCATATAACATGTGAAGTGCATCTTCTTACAATCAGGATTTATGAGATTCTGAGGTCTCTAGTAGTAGTTTGTCTTTCATGGACAAGGAACCAAATCAAGATGTCTGCTTTTATCATGCCCCTCCCAAATAAGGGCAGAGAGGGAAAGCCAAGACTATCCCATCATGCTACTAGAGAGAAGGATTTTACATCCTTGATGACTCAAATCCCAAGTTTATATTAAGAGGATTGGAAATAGTTATGTTATTAAGAGAATCTATTCTGTGATGGCAAGTTACTAAAAATAATCTAGAGAAAGAAGGACCTCCATCTCTCTAGAACTCCATTTAGCAACACTGTTCGATCTTCGAAATGATCTTCTATCGCTTTGACCAAACCAAACAAACATTCCATTGTAGCAGCCATGTCATGCCCTACCACAGTAGATATGCTAGAAGCAGAAAAGTTCAATACAATAGGTCGAAAGAGAAGCCTCAATAAAATAAGTTAGACGGCCTACATAGGAAAAAGAAAAGCTCCTTTCTGATTTTCAAGGCCATTAAAAATCTTCTCAACCATGAAATACCAAGCACAATAGAACTAGGATAACTCCCAAAGGTACATTAATTGATCGAGCACACAATTTAAGAGAGAAATGTCCATTATAGAGGTGAGACATAGCTCTCTCAATCAATACATTACCTTGTTTAGAGTTACTTTGGAAGACTGGTGTTACAGTTCCCCGTACTGTAATGTTTGAACCAACCGCACCAGAGGAGTTTCCCAAGACAACAGGTTTATATGACCCATGTTGTCTAGATTCAGATGAAGCCTGAGAAGTTACAGTTCCCCTTACTGTAATGTTTGAACCAACCGCACCAGAAGAGTTTCCCAAGACAACAGGTTTATATGACCCATGTTGTTGTCTAGATTCAGATGAAGCCTGAGAAGTTACAGTTCCCCTTACTGTAATGTTTGAACCAACCGCACCAGAGGAGTTTCCCAAGACAACAGGTTTATATGATCCATGTAGTTGTCTAGATTCAGATGAAGCCTGAGGAGTTATCGGTCCCTGAGGTTTTTTCTTTGGAAAGTAACCGAGGAGCCCGCAGTGATAATCCCTGTCAAAGGATGTGTGTTAAGTGAGGAAAATATATAAACAGCTGATTATGAAGAACTTACATCTGCCTTTCCCATCTAATCCCATGGAAACATAGAAAATTGCAACTAAAAGCTGTTTAAATCAATCAATGCAGACAAGCTAAAAATCTACTCCTCCAATGGTTGCAAGTTACCTTCATCAATACAGAACAATTCACTGACCCATTCTTAAATTCAAGTAATTGCTTACCAGTATTCCCATGTCATCTCCTTTAATCGTACTTCAAGCTTTTGAAAAAGAGGGGTTTTCTCGAAGTCCTGCTTATTATGGGTTGGCTGAATAAAGTTTGCTTCTAGAACACCTGAAGTGGAAGGACATCGTCAAATAACCTTTTTTTTTATAAAGAGGAAATCGTCAAATAACCTCTCTAACAGGGAAAAGTGGTACAAGCATAATTAACAGTGAACCAATGTTAAGTGGTTCAGAGGCTTCTTTACCAACAACTCCTCTGCCTCTACTATCTGAGTACCTCACAACATGCCAAAACGGCTGCAAAGAGATGATAAAAAGATGTAAGACTTTAGGAGTTAGGAAAAGGTATGTAAAGAATGTCTATCTATTGAATCAGTTCGTAGAAGAATAATCCATCAAAATTGTAGATAGGTTATTGCTAACCAAGAAAGCAATTCTTACAGAATAGAGAAGGTAAAGCAAAGAACACACCCGAAGAAGACAAGACATAGAAATTCTTGCATAGAACATATCTACAGTTAGATTTTTAAATTCTAGATTCACTTTCCACGAAGAAAAGGGTCATTTAGTTTTACAGCCCCTACCTGCTTTCTAAACTTACATCATGAAGGAGAATTATGTAACATGATGATAACGAGTCCTCAAGTCCCAATTGATTTAACCCGAATGATAACAAGTGCTCGAGTCTCAATCAATGTAATCAAGGATATGGGAGGACTCCAAGATCCGTCCATATAATCCAGTTTTCGAACCTCAGTGGCAACTCAAGCATTTTGATGCAAGAACAAAATTGTATCCATAGGTTAGTTAAGTTTAATGACCCTTAGTTTCTTATAACTTACAATTCTATAAGGAAATATACAAAATAAAAAGAAGTCAAAACTCGGATTTATTGAAAATTCGAAGAAAAGCCCTTTCGCCAGAAGTAAGAAATCGATTTACAATCTTTTTGACCATATGCATCAAAAGGCGCATGTATGGTTCTTGAAGGATACAATTTTTTACCCTTAATCGAACGACTTCATAAGAAAGAATACTTTTTTAAGCCAAGAGGTTGATAACAATATTTGCAATCAACTTATTGGTCTTACGGTGTATCACATTAGTGACATGTTTTAAAGTGCAGGTCTAGGCCTAGAGCGTATAATATCACTAGTGGGAAGACCGCTACAGAAGCCATCAGACCCACTCATGTGTCAACCTTGTTGATGTGGGTCAGAGTTCAACTTTGTTTAGGCAAATTCTAATAAGGCGGGGCAAACCTTAGTGTTGAGTTTAGGTAAATCCCATGTAGTGAGGTAAACCTCAATGAGGACGCAAGAGAGATGTTGAGTATATCAATAAGCAGTCCTTACACACTAGTGAAGCATTTAAAAGTCGTGTGGGTTTAGGCCTAGAGCAAACAATAACACTAGTGCATTGGATGTTACAATCACATAGGATTGCTAGTGGATTGTGTACTATTCAACCTACCCTTTAAATTGTGCAAAACAATACCATTGCCTTACTGAATTTATTGTTTCCCAGAAAAATAGTTAGTGTGACAAGCAATTTTGCTAAGCTAATAAATATTACTCCATTCGTCCCATTTAATGTGGCACCATTTGACTTGGCATGGTGTTAAAGAAAAAAAAGATAGACTTTTGAAACTTGTGATCTAAAACAATTCTTAGATATTTGCCTAGGTTGAAAATCATTTCATAAGGGTAAAAGGGGTATTTTAAAGTTAAAGTGTTTCTAATTATAGTAAGGTGACATTCCTTTTGGGACGAACTAAAAAGAAAAGGGTGCCACATAAAATGGGATGGAGGGAGTAATTGATAAGAGTTGAAATGCCCTGTACTGTTTTAAAATGTTTCATATGACTTATGAGTACTTTACCGTATCTAAAGAAAAGTTTAGTTTAGGAGTAGACCTTGATGGATCCTGTAGCTAACGCGGGTTTATTAGGCCTGGTGTACCTTGTATCTACAATTACCGTTACAGTCCTCACTAGTGGGAAGGTATAACTAGCATACAATTACCGAAGTTGAAGCATGGAATAAAGTCATGTAGTAAGTGGGGATGCTCAACAACGTGGTCTTAATAAGCACTTTCTTCCCTCCGTTGGACAAATATTTTTCAGCCACTCTGCTAGTCACTTCTCAGCCCTTTGAAGAACCGGATTCCACATCGTTTGATACTTGTCCAAAACACCTAATGATACTCCTAGATAAGTAGTCCAAAGGGACTTGGTCTAAATAATCCAACTAGGTTTCAACTGCATCACAAAAAATCAAGATATCATCTGCAAACAACAAGTGAGACACTAAGACTACCCCTAACCCTTTAACTATCATCTGACTCAAAGCTTCCATAACTAAATCAAACATCGCTGAAAGAGGTCCCTTTGTCTCAAACCGCTCGATCTCCTAAAAAAACGCACAAATTACCATTAACAAACACAAAAAACCTCATCGAAGAGATGCAAAAATGAATCCACTTCCTTCACTTCTCTCCCAAATCCTATTTATAGCATAATGGAATCAAGGAACCTCCAATTCACATGATCATATGCCTTTCAAGATCAAGTTTGTATAACACACCTGGCACCCTCGGCTCTCTCCTAGAATCCACCACTTTGTCGTCGGTACGTTGCATCCAAAATTTGTCTACTAAGTAGAGACAGTCTCATCCAACATCTTTTTAAGTCTAATGAAGAACACCTTAGAAATGATCTTATAAAAGTTTCCCACAAAATTATTGGTTTATAGTCCTTCATTTCTGTAGCTCCTTCCCGCTTGGGGAGGATCACAATGAACAAAGCATTCAAACTTCTCCAAAAGTATGTGTTTTGTTAACTTTTAGGAAAAATAATGTTTAATGCATGATTGTTATTTTGTTCATTTTGGTTACTTTTTTTTTTTTGAGATAAGGGTAATTGTGTATTCACAAAAGTGTCATCTTCAAATAATGATGAGCATAGGTCACTTACAATCTCATCAAAGCATAAAACAACCTACCCCTAGGGAGATTACAAATTGCCTATGAAATCAACAAAAAGTTCTATATCCCCCCTCATATCTCTATTCATCCTTATCTTCTCGATGTTGTTACTCTTGTCCTCAAAACCTCTAGCATTCCTTTCTTTCCATAAAGTCCACCAGATGCAAGCTGGAATTAACTCCCACCAGTCTTCAATAGAATGTCTTCTTCCTATCTCCTTCCAACTGTCTAGCATACCCTTAGTGGTCCGTGGAATTACCTAACATACACCAAGGATGCAGAAAAACATGTTCCATAGGTTGGTAGCTACCTTGCAGTGGAGGAACAAGTGTCCATTGACTTCAGCATCTTGATCACACATAAAACATCTTGAACAGATATGTCTTCCTTTTTTCTGAAGTACTTCATGCGTTAGACATGCCCTTCCACAAACCAGCCAAGCAAAACATGATACCTTTAGAGGTATTTTTATCTTCCAAATTAGTTTCCAAGGCCAGATTCTATTTCTTCTTTGACCAGCATTGCTACTCCAGTAGCAAGACTTCACTGTGAACACTCCTTTCCACTGAAATTTCCATATAGGCTTGTCGGGCTCATTGGAGGTGCCTGGGAAGGTATTTAGGATCTGAAATAGAGCAGCGATCCTCTCTATCTCCCAATCATTGATGGCTCTTCTAAACAAGAAATTCCATCCCTGAGGGCTCCACATCTGAGAAATTGTGTCCTTGTTCTGCTGACTAAGTATAACTAAATCTGGAAATAGAGTTGCAAGACAATCTTCTCCAATCCATAAATCATTCTAGAAGTCAATTTTCCTGCCACTTCCCACCTTAAGTGAGATGTTATCCTTGAATTGTGGCCATAGTCTTCTAATGGTCTTCCAAACACTACTCCCAAAAGTTCCCCGAACCTCCTTAGTAAACCAATGATTTTGCAGTCCATATTTGATATTTGTCAATGATGACACTCTTCCATAGTGATAGCTTTTCGGTGCAAAATCTCCACAATCATTTCTGTAGGAGGCAGGAGTTCTGGAGGCTTAGCTTTTTTTATGTCCAGTCCTCCATGCTTCCTACTAAGTGTTACAATATCCCACTTGACTAGCTTGTAACCTCTATTTTCTCTGTTTCCATTCCAAAGAAAAGATCTTCTAAGTTTGTTGATCTTTTTCTCAATGCTCTTTGGAATAGGGAAAAGGCTCATCATGTAGGAAGGGAGAGCATGAAGGACTGACTTGACCAGGGTCAGTCTCCCTCCTAAGGAGAGGTAATGGCTCTTCCACCTTGCAAGTTTCGTGTCACATCTCTCCAGAATATCATTCCACACTCTTATGTCCTTGTTTTGTGCTCCCAAAGACATACCCAAATACTTTGTGGGTAGAGTAGCTATTTGGCAGCCATGTATTACTAAATTATGTATTCTTATTCCACCTTCTATGCATATAAAGGCATTGTTTGTTCCGATTATTCTAATTAACTAAATTCTAGATGTTTTCCCTACATTTATGTTATCTATCATCCATATACCTCAGTCAGTAATTCAGAGGTCGGATATCAAAAGAAACTTCTTGTCGCAAGGAAACAAGGAAAAGAAAGGTTTTCACTTGGTCAAATGGAAGAACATTATCAGAAGCAAGGAACAAGGTCGACTAGGTATCAAGAATCTCAGAAAGCATAACAAAGCTCTCAAGGTGAAGTGTCTATGGAGGTACCATCAAGAGGACCAATCCCTCTGGTACAGGGTAATCAATATCAAGAATGAGGAATTGAACAAATGGGTAACTAAAGTGGTTAATACCCCTTATGGTATTAGCCTCCGGAAATATATTAGTCTTCTGGCATTTTCTCAGTAATCAATCAACTGTCAAGGTTCAAATTACAGAAAAACAAGTTTTTGGGTTGATAAATGGATGGGTACTGAGAGCCTTAAAGATCTCTTTCCTAACATCTTTGCTTTGGCTCAACATCAATAAAGCACTGTTGCTGAAATGTGTCAGAACAAGGATGGAATTTGGTCCTTAGAGAAACTTGAATGACTAGGAAATTCTCAAAATGATTAAACTTTTCAAAAGTTTCCAAGGAACACAAACAGGTGAGGATTATAGGATTATTTATGGTGGCATGGGCAAAACAAAGGTAGATACAGGGTGAAGGAAGGATATAAACAGACAAATTTTTTTTGAAACTGGTAAGATTGAAAACAGAATTTTTTTTTTTTTTTTTTTTTTTGATTTTGCACCGGGTGTCTGAGTCTCTTTGAGCCCCGACTAATCCCGGGGGTGCACAGGCCCTCGGCAAGGAGTTTCCCGCAAGTGCACCACGGTTAATGATTGTAAACAGAATTTTTTGTGATCACCAAGATTTCAAATGGCCTTGGAAGCATTTCTGAAGAATCGAAGTGCCACACAAAGTGGCATGCTTTACTTGGCTACTAGCCAATGAAGCAGTTTTGACATTGGACAATGTGGCCAAGAGAGGTTCTCTATGCAGCAGATGCTCCCTATGTGGTAAGGATACAGAGACAGTGAGACACCTCTTTCTACACTGAAATTTCACTGACCAACTGTGGCAGATTTTCCTTAATCTCAGAGGCATTTCCTGGGATATGCCTAGTAAGATTAATGAGATTCTATTCAGTTGGGAGGAGGCTGGAGTTAGGGCTACAACCGGAGAAAGATGGAGGATGATTCATGCATGTATATAGTGGACTATATGGAGAGAAAGAGAGAGAGAAATGATAGATTTTTTAAGAATAGGAACAACAATCTGAAGTCAAGCTTAAATGTATTTTGTTGTTCTATTTTTGGTGTACAAATGTCTACTCAGTTTTGGGGAAGATTATACTTCTTTTTCTTCTTATTTGCAAATATGGTTTTTCAGTACTACCTATACTGACTTAAATACAAATGTTACTAGTTTCGAAAAAAATTAACATAACATGAAGAATCAATTTCAAAAAAATTGATCGTCATAGTGAAATGTTGTCATTACAAGATGGCTGTTTTTTTTTTTGAAAATGTATTACTGGATGGTGTTTTAAAGAGATTTGTCTGTAAACAGAGATTTATGCATAACTTATGCAAGTATTAATTACGCAGGCAACACAATGCATCATATAATGTTGAAAACAAGGTTCAAAAGGTAACCCAACATTGTATTACTAAAGCGGAGTTTTACATGGGTGTTAAAACTGATAACATCTTAGAAATGCAACCAAACATCCCCAAAGTGTATTTTTCATGTATTTTCTCCCTACTCTCTCATCCCAATGTTGACAATATTTCTAGAACTCATATTCTTCCTCTTCGACCTCCTCTCTAAATAACACGCAACTCTCCTAGAGTTGATGCTAGCCTACCAATATTCTACCCCTACCCCCTTTCCTCTATCCATCACATAATGGTTTCCTGCATTTGCTAACTTTCTATAAGACAACTTACAAACTGAATCAAGACACTTTTTAGTCAACAATTGTACCTCTTGCTGCTAATGTATCTCCTCACCTCCGAATATTCTCCTACGGGTTGGCCAATGGTGCTCTTGTTTCCCATCAAAAGAACCACTACTAAAAAGGGTGATCATAGGGACCCATTCAGGAAGCCAAGAAAAATGAAGTTTAGTGGTGATAGCCCACATAGATTAGATGGATAGTGCAACGGAGAAACTGTTCCCACTCCTTGTATCGAATGCATATTCTTCTTTCTTTTTTGTGGTGTACATCTGTAATGTAAATTAACAAGGAAACTATCTCATGATCCGTCAATTCTCCTAAATATGGAATTATTTGACTCTGATTCAGCTTACTTACAAGATTTAGAGATAAGTACAAACAAAGCTAATTTTTCTCAGAAGTTCAAATTCACAAATTTTAAAAATCATAAAGCAACAGAAGCTAGTCACCAGTATTAACCGATTTTTGTGGTAGACATTGAACCCATGAATATTCACCACTGGAGCTTCCTTTAGGAAACCAATAGTGGTAATGACTGAACCCTGCAACCACCAAAACAAGGAAAACATTAAGAGAAGCTCTGGAAACACTGGAGCTTAAATTGTTAATAGCAAACTGTAAGGAAGTAAAAGTAATTTAATGGTCACAGGTCAAGCATGATATGTATCTGAGTCAGTTAGTAGACTACCTTGAGTAAAGGGAAATACACATGCTACAGTATGAAGAACTTAGAATATAAGATGTCACAGTTGCTAACTCAAAATTTGAACAATTCCAGAATTTCCTCACATTCCTCGACCTCTATCGCTAAAATCAAGAAAGTTAAAGCACTGTAGATAGAAATGTCGATATTTCAGCCAACTTTGTGTACATCTCTTAACAGACTTGACCCTTTTAGTTAATAAAACTATTACCTATTAAAAAATCTCTGAGTAAAACTTTAATGTTCAGATCCATCTAATCAATGTGATGGTCTTCCACAATTCAAGAAAAGAAAGAAGTTCAGATCCATCTAATCAATGTGAAAAGGCGTTTCAAGTGATTCCTCCCTCCCAAGTCCCAACGTACTCAACACACTTTCTAGCATTCAAAATTCCAATAATTATTTACACTCTTTGAATAATATTTTGCTCCAGATATAATTTCGCAAGTTCATATAGCAATCCAAATTTTAAGCGTCATACAATGTATTCTGATCAAACGAACTTGTCAAAAACTTGAAATATTTAACCGTGCCTTTAAAAAGTGACAAGGCTCGTGGGGCATGAAGCAAAAAGTGAAAAATGAAGTGCACACTTCTCCAAAGTAGTGAGTAATTTATGAAATAGTACTGTAATAATTAAATTGCTATTAAAAATGACTAATTTCATGCCAATATATAATAAGGTAAATGTAAACCAACTTCTCAAAGTTGAGATTAAAAAAACCACCACTTTTCTTTTGAATCACTTAGAGCACTGTTTGAAGTGCACGCTTATCTGAAACGCATGGCTTTGCCCGTGAAGTGATAACCCCTTGCTTCACATCACTTAGCCCTTTTGCTTCTTTTTTAAAAAATTTAATTACCGCTTTGCTTTCTAGAACAGTGACACTTACTTCTAGTACCACCAAGATTATATACAAAACAAAGAACTTCTTTATCTTCAAAACAGGTCAACTTTTGCCACATGAAAAGGGGTGGAGTGTGCAAATAAATCATAATATCTATCCCACAATATACCACTCATATTAAAGACAAACTCTGGAACATACCTCTTTGAATCCAAGAGTTTGAGGCTTATACATGATAAATTCGGGGTACTTGAGATCCTTAGCAATGTTATGGAGTTCAACAACCCGTCCACGTAACAGAATACAGAAGTTGTCTGGAATCCGCAAGTACAACACTGATAAATATGCCTGTTCAGTATGGGAACACCAAGAAGATAATGACCAATAATCCTCTGATTTAAATATAGAAGTATCAAGGGGAAACTACTAGGAAGATAACTTACACGGAGTGAGTAACGAAGACGGTTCGCAAGATGCTGGTCACTTACTTTAATACGAGAGCCACTCTTCTCATTATCGTTTGCATCCCCCGAAAGGCGAATATCCTACAGTTACAGAAAAAAAAAGACATTAAATAAAGCTATAAATGACACTAACAGAAATCAGAAATCCCATTAAGATAGTCAAGCCGAACCTCAGAATCTGCCTCAAAGTCGAGCTCCATTCTGCCTTCATCATTATACCACAAATTGTAGACAATCACCTTTGTGCCATGATCACCAATGTCATCAAACTGCAAATAATATAAGGGAAGGAGCCGAAGTTGACATTCATAAAAGGTCAGGAATAGCCTCACAAGATTGTAATGCAATACAGCAAGCTTTAATAGGAAAATAGGGAATTGCCAGGGAACGAAGCTGAGAGCTATATTTGAATTGACAACATCAGAAGATGCTAGTCAAGGCTTGAGAGTTAAATTTGAATGTTTGCAAAACCGCGTGATTTTAAAGATGTTTTGACAACTTTCTGCCACTAAAAACAGCTGCTAAGTCTCAACATTGGAGCATATATATATTTTTGAATACTATAGGTATATTGGCATGTTTTCTGACTTGTCCCCAATTTAAAAAAATTGTGGTTAAGCCTTATTACTCTCCAAGCTAAGTGACTCACTCCTTGATAATGTTTTCTTTACAAAGACAGCAGTTGAAGCAGACGAGGATTGAACTAGCTAGAACGCACGAATTGACGGTTTCTAGTGAGCGCCACATTGGCTTGCATGGGCGAAGAGTTTAGTTATTTATTATCATACATTCTTTAAAACTCTTTAGAGTCGCTCTTTAGTCAGTTTGTCAGTCAGGCTTCATAAGTACTTTGGTTATCGTAAGACTTAATGACTGATAATTGTGTTAAATTAGTTTGCCGTATTTTGACAGTGGAACTACTATTGTGGTGTTGAAATTGGATGATCGATAAAGGTGACATAGTTTGAATTGGGTCTGTTTGTTGTCTTATATTGCTGACAGGAACTTTTTTGTTTTTGGATAGGTACGGATATAGGAAAAACCCTGAGTGATTTTTTGTAATTTCCAGTTAAAGCCTGCTTGAAGATCCTACCCCTTAGCTAGAGTCATGGCCCAAAATTGGGTTGTCACACTAGGTCTGTTCTATAGAGGAAAACATACTTGTACTTGGCAAATAAGGAGATTGTTTCATCATTACTTCATTCAGGTGTCTAAAAGGGGTGTGAAAAGAAGTTCCAAATGATATCTATCTATCACAGTAATGCTGGAATTATGCCTGTACATCAGAACCACTGATAGATCAAAATATCAGTAGACAAAGCAGCATTAGCATTCTTTTTTTCCCGATAACCAAAGGATTGGAATTTTTAGCTTAAACGCAGCATTAGCATTCTTAAATAACAATTTGAAGACATGTTAGAAACAAAATCCAATACCTTTATTGCAGAACCCAACAATCTTCCTGCTATGCAGACATTCCAGAATGAACAATTTGGAACGCAAGATTTGGAAAACTATAACCATTGGTTATTTGGTGGATAATTTGGACAGAAAAACACACCAAATTCTTTTTAAGGCAAACAGATGAATATATATAACCTTAAGCAAAGATGTGAATTTTGCTAGCTTTTTGGTGCAATTGTAAATGATGTAGATTCCTCGATAGAAATGAACAAAGACTTCCATAGACTGTAACTTTGGACGCCTACCTAGTCTGCCTATACCTTCTATAAAATTCACCCTTATCAAAAAAAGTCTATGCCTTTATATCTCCAGGATCTTTTCAGGTACAGTTAAATACTCAGGTATACTTCCAACAATAGAACCTAAAAGCAGAATATAACTGATACTTCCAAAGAGGATTTGGCAGATGACTCTAATATAGATCATCACCAGAGAGTGATTTTTAGGTATGACAAAAGAAGTAAGTGAGATCTATAATTGTTACACTTTCTTTTGTTTGGTCCCCCCCCCCCCCTCACAACTGCACCCCACCCCCAAGATGCAAGGAGGAGAACTCATATAAAGGAGAAAGCCAGGCAAAGGGGAAAGGAAGTTTTATTATAAAAAATACCATGGAAACTGACAGAAAGTAAGCAACAACCTTGAAGACAACGAAAACTTACTTGCTTAAGAAGCTCTGCCTCTGTCGCAAATGGAGACCAGCGCAACAACAACGAGAGGTTATTCCTAAAATGTTGTTCACCATGTAATGAACTCCATTTTCCAGCTGCTGCACTGAACTCAAAGTCAAGCTGCATCACCAGACGAATACTTTAAGGAAAAGGAGTATGAAGGTTGGAAGGAGAATGAAAAAGCGAGAAAGTAAGCGGGAGTAACTGATGTTTGGATTACTGTTATTTAACAGCTTATGATCACATGGGCCACATGGAAGAATGTTGGTAGTCATCCACACCCCCACACCACCACCCAAATTTACGAATATATCTTATTTTGTCCTCTTTCCTTTTTCTTCAGGGAAATAGAAGGAGTTATGTAATAATAAGACATGCATATACAAATTTTGGAGACCCAAAAATAAAGGTTTCTCATAACAAAGCTCAAATAGATTAAACAAGAAACCATCAGACAGGTAGAAGTCCACATCTAAGTCCTACTAATTAATACAACACCTTACAACACTAATATATATCACGAGAAGCAAACTATAAAAACCATCTAAAGGATATAAGGAAAAGGTACAATTTAAAATATCTGCTAATAAATTTACATATTAAAACTACAGTAGTGGCAATATTGTTTTAATAGGGAAAAGGCACATATCCATCTGATTTTAGATGAAATAAAAGGACTCTGGTACATTGTTTGACTTATTGTATCATATTAGTAAAAGAGGAACAAGATATTGTAGCTAAAAGGTCAAAGAGTGGTAAGGAAACCACCATATCAAGGTTTGAGCTATTAAAGACTATTCAGACTCAAATGCACGCTTAGACGGGAAAGGGAAAAAGGCTCACCAAAGGAACCACTATTCTGTCAAGGCCTGCTCGAGTCAGAAATGTCTGAGATAGAAGCCCAATGCTTTGTGTCAATTTCCTGGTCACAATAGCAACACAAAATTAGAAGGGGGTTATCCTGAGCATAGATCAGTAGCCTGGGTGAGCAATTGATATCACAAACGAAATAAAGCTTCCATGTCTTCAAGTTAAAATTGTGTTTATAACTTTTTCTTTTTTGTTCTGGGGGGGGGTACGCCTAGAGATTTCAAGGCAATACCCTCCCTGAAGCTATATGCATTAAACTAATTGCAGATCATTCTGTAGACAACTCTGTTAGAACGGAATGCTAGAGCAGCTTAAACGAAAAAGGTTCGAGTAAGGCTGTAATCAGTATGTGAAAAGAAATTGTTGTTACCTTTTCTACAGACAAAATATTATTGTCAATGGAAGAATCACAGAAATGCTCACTCGATGTCTAAATTGTGAATCTCTAGAAGTATAATCAAGTAGGTCAAAGAATGAACATTTCTCTGTTCAACTGTAACTGCACATGCTCCTCAAAGTGGAAATAAAGGCCCTCAAATAATATTTAGAAAAAGCTGAAGTTATCCTAAGGATACTCCAATAAGTAAGCAAAGACAACATTGATAACCCAGAAAGATAACCAATAAATCTGCAAGATCATATGAGTAATAAATCTGCAAGTTCAGAACTTTGGCTAGCATTTTTATTTATTTTTTATATTAAAGATTTCATTATCAGCATCTAGAGGATGTATGAAAAATTCAAAGGAAATCTGGATAAGCTAAGGAGAAAATTCTTATGGCAAGGCAACAAGGATGGAAAAGGCTATAGCTTAGTAAACTGGGAAACTGCTCTACTTAGCAAAGACAGAGGGGGGCTGGGAATTAAGAACTTGAAACTACAGAATGAGAGCCTATTGAAAAAGTGGTTGTGGAGGTACACTGAAGAGAGAAATTCCCTCTGGAAAGAGGTGATCATAGCAAAATATGGTGAGTTAAACCCTTGGTGTACAGAGATCACAACAGAACCTTATGGTGTGGGTGCATGGAGATCAATTAGAAACTTGTGGTCACAAATGGAGACAAATTTATATATCAAGGTGGGAAGTGGCACTAAAACAAAATTTTGGAAGGATGTTTGGATAGACCAATCCCCTCTTAGAGATCTCTTTCCAGATCTCTTTCAAATTTGTGGAAATCCTGATGCCAATGTTGGCGATTGCTGGACTGAACAGGGCTGGGATCTAGTTTTTAGAAGACTTCTCAATGATTGGGAGGTGGAAAGGGTGGCTGAGATATTAGGGATGCTAGGCGGAGTGACCATCAATGCAAATGCCACAGACAGGATGTTGTGGAAGCACAGCAAAGATGGCCTCTTCTCAGTCAACAGTGCTTACAGAAGAGGTCTCCAGGTGATGGCAGGGAGACCAACACACCTCTGGAACTATTTTTGGAAGGGGGATATTCCTACAAAAGTGAAATGCTTCACTTGGCTAGTGATAAAGAGAGCTTGTTTAACACAAGAAGTACTTCAGAAGAAGGGTAGACAGCTGGTCCCTAGGTGTTTTTTATGCAATTTGACAAGTGAAACTAACAGCCACCTCTTCTTGCACTGTAATTACACTACTCAAATCTGGAATTTGTTCCTTAGCATCTCAAATCTGAATTGGACAATGCCAGAACGTACATCAAACGTGTTGAAGAGCTGGGTAAGGAGAGGGGGTACCAAGAGCCAAAAGAGATGGTGGGGGTTAATACCATCATGTATATGGTGGTCAATCTAGAAGGAAAGGAACAGTAGATGTTCGACAATAGATCCAATTCCATACACAAGATCAAATGGAATTGTATAGTATCTCTACTTTTTTGGTGTAAACAGTTGTGTATAGTAGATACAGATCAGATTGTAGATTTGATAGGAAGTTTGTAATTGACAATTTTTGGTGGTGGCCAGCATGCCCTTAATGCTGAAGAATACAACCTTACCAGTTTCAAAAAAAAAAAATATATGAGTAACATCTCTGAGATGACGTTTGCACTCCTAAGCAAAAAAATACGGAACTAACAATGTCCAAAAAATATATCAAGTGTTGACATAAGAACATTAGCAAAGCATGTTTCAGTTTATGGCTTTCAACAGAATTATTTTTTAAACACAGCAAGTTGTTTTCTACAACAACAGCCACTTTGGCAATTTCAAAACAAGCTTATTCTACTCAAGCTCCATCACTCCAGTATATATATATATTATCATCAGCATCTTGAGGATGCATGAAAAATACAAAGGAATTGATCCCCTGCCAAGATGAGTAACATCTCCGAGATGACGTTTGCACTCCTAAGAAAAAAATACGGAACTAACAATGTCCAAAAAATATATTAAGAGGGCGTTTGGATTGGCTTAAAAGTTGGTCAACTTTTAAGTCAGTTTTTGACTTCTGTCAAAAATGACTTAGAATAAGTTAGGAAGTGTTTGGCAAGGTCAAAAATGACTTAAAATACGTCAAAAACCAAATGTAGGTCTCCCCCTACTTTTTATTTTTTGACTTAAAAGTCATTTAAGTTTAACTTTTTACTTTTGACTTAAAAACTACTCCCTCCGTCCCATTTTATGTGGCACCATTTCCTTTTTGGTCAATCCCAAAAAGAATGTCACATTTCCTTATATGGTAAGTATTTAAAGGTACAATTCCTCTTTTATCCTTATTGGTCCCACTTAATCTTAAAAAAATACTCCAATACATTTACGAAGAGAGAGAAAAGTGGGTCTACTTTTTAAAGGACAATTTGGTAAACATTTCAAAGTCCTCATTTATTTCTTAAACTCCGTGCCGGGTCAAATGTTGCCACATAAAATGGGACGGAGGGAGTACTTTTTTTAAGCCAATCCAAATGGGTTCTAAGTGTTGACATAAGAACTTTAGCAAAGCATGTTTCAGTCTATGGGTTTCAACAGAATTAATTTCTAAACACGTCAAGTTGTTTTCTACAACAACAGACACTTTGGCAATTTCAAAACGAGCTTATTCTACTCAAGCTCCATCACTCCAGTATATATACGTATTCAGCCAATCTTAATCTGTTGAATGTTTCTCTTCCCCTCAGGCCTCAACTCACCAACTTTTGGGAGACGGAACTCACCTTAGAACTCCACCAGAATAAATTCTTCATTGCTAACATACCTATTGCAGAGGGGCAACTTCTATAGGAGATTTTTCTAGAGTTTGGCATGTCACAATATATAGACTAAACAAAGATGTACACCATATTTACAAACTATCTTGTTTGGACTTCACACCTATTTTTCCACTATCACCAACAAGTTATCATGATTCATGACCATGTTAGACAGAATGAATCTACAAAATAATACTATGTCTTAGTCACAATTAGGCTGGGAGAGTCACAAGAAATACAAGTCAAAGAAATCATAAAAGACTCATTACAACTGCTAATACACTCGTAGTTGTTTTTATCAGTGAAAAATGAAAAGAATAATCAAAATAAAAGGGAGAACAACGAAAGATAAAACAGAACGCACAAGAATACTACTGTACCTGTTCTTTTTGCAGCGGCTAAAGACAATAACATCTGCCCCAAGTCTCATTGAACTGGTCTTAAAACCATTTCCATCTAAAATGTTGAGAGTTAGGAATTATAACAAGACAGGACACACAGTAAAAAAAAAAACCATGATTATTAATATGCATACACTGTCCAATAGTTGAAGCTGACTTCTTATCCGAAAACCCAAAGCTCATACAACGACGTATGGCTTCTGGGTCCATTCCACCGCCATCATCTGAAACAGAGATTGCAAAAATTCAGTATCTCATACTCTAACCATTTTCTTCAAACGAAACCAGACCAACCAAAACATTAGTATCAGGCGCTATTCACAAACAAAGAAATGGAATACCTTGAACCATTAAAGCTGAACTTCCACTCCTTGGATTTGGTGTTTTATCTACAATAACAAAGGAGGCTCCATTTTGTATCTAACCAGTGGAAGAAACAAGGGTGCGACATAGAGAGGAAAATATTAGCATGGCGGTTTGGACAAAAGGGTTACAGCATCTCAACATTGTTGATACCATATAAGGCACGTTACCATCAGGGGATCCAAAATAGACTTTATTCAGCAAAACAAACTACTCTTAGAGCAAACTTTTGAACATATGCATATCCATGTCATGAAGTACACATCCAGATGCCAAGAATATGTCCCATAGAGTCTCATCCAATGTGTTACCCATTATAATTTCACTATCAGACCAGCTAAGCATTTACATACTTTATTTGCATAGGGGTTACCAACCATATTGTACATAGCATAAGACTTCTATATTAAGAGAACCTCTAGACTCTAGTAGACTGTTAATTAAGAAAACAAGTTTTCCTATTCCACATGGTATCAGGGCCTTTGCGATCTTGGTAGAGACTCGAGTAGCTTCAGCTTCCAGCTGGTACCGGCCAATGTGTGATGCCCACCGACCTAATTTTTTCTTTTTTGCTTCCTTGTGGTGCCTAGCAACTCTCTTCTCTTTGGCAATTAGTGTCGTTATCTTTGGACGACTGTTCAAGGTCCCTCCTCTCTCTACGATAGCTAATCACCATTCATCTCTTGGGAACTGATGCTTCTATCATTTACATGACCGAGTGCCCTCATCTACAACTACATCTCATTCCCAAACAAGTTAAACCCAGCTATATGAATTCTAACTGACCAATGTCTTAACATTGTTCTGCCAATTCAAGTTACGTTGATGTTCTAGAGATTGCAACACCATCTCTTTTCGGTGATTGAGAATAGATGTGCAGATACCAACAATTTTCCGGAGGAAAGAATTGCAACACCTCTATTCTTTTTGGTGATGTGCACATGCAGCAAGATTTTGGCATCAATTTTCTATGTTTTCAACATAACCAATCTCTATATGTTTTCCCCAGTTTGAGTTTGAGGAGCATGTTAGAATTTCAAGTGAATATGTGTCTAGATTCAAACGCGCAAGATTTTATGTACTTGAATAAGGAAATCATATAGAGTATTGCATAAGATACTTTAGGATATTTTTATTTTTTATTTTTTTTTGATGACAAGGAAACCCGCAGCCGCTATCCTTTAGGTGCGCACAGGGTAAAAACCTCACTCCTATGCAATAGCTCGCAAACCACATAGGAAAGGCAACCGTTAGGATATTTTAATATAAAATATTTACTTGCTTATTAGCGTAGGTAACCATATTATATATAGCCTATGACTCCTATATAAGGAGCACCTCTTGTACATTGCTAATTACGTCATTTGTAAGTTCTTCTACCTTCACACTGTCCTCTTTTGTAATAAATAAGTTGGTTTTACTAAGAACAAAGAGTGGAAACCCAGCATTCAAGAAAGAGCGTTACAGAAAAGAACTAGCTTAGTGTATCCAGACATCTACACACAGGGATTTGCTACGTGCTCTAAAATTACACCAGAAAAATGTTCTTTATGTGTGGCAGTGAATATTCCTTCCCCAAAAGTGCCGCTCTGTTCCATTCTTTCCAGATTGTCCATATATGGCAGGTGAAAATATCTCTGCCATTCTGCTCATACTTGCAGCATTCTAAGAAGTTTCCAGCATTTCAAGAACTCAAGAGATGTTTTGATGGAGAGTCAACTGCTTTAGGCATTTTGAAGACTAGGTGCACTGAAAATTTGTTTAGTTGGACCAACTTGTATCCTGCTGTTAATGCAGAACAACTTCAGGATTTTACTAACTCATTAGCTCTAGCTTAGATAGTTTGTATAGTTAGCCAGAGATTTTTTTGTAAGCTCAAATGCCTTATCTTGTAAATTTAGCATCTTCCTGATGCTGTTATTAATACCACTTATCTTATAAAAAAAAAAAAAACTCAAAGCCTGCTTTTAACATTACCCTGTTATAAACCCTCAGGGGTTGGCCTGCTGGCAATTGACTTGAGCCTTGGGGTTTGCTCCCTTTCAAGGTCTCAAGTTCGAAACCCACTAGGTGCAAACAATTTCTGAGGGCCATCGGACTGGGTAAAACCTGAATTAACCGTGGTGCACTTGCGGGAAACTCCTTGCCGAGGGCCTGTGCACCCCCGGGATTAGTCGGGGCTCAAAGAGACTCGGACACCCGGTGCAAATCAAAAAAAAAAAAACATTACCCTGTTATACCTAATAGATCCTACTAGATGAGTACTAAAAGGCACCATTTCACCAGAGTATAAAACTATAAATTTACAAGAGTATCGACTAATTAAGTCTTTTTGAAAGGGTAGACTCCTCACCATCTCTATCTCTCCAGCTACCTCTACTTTTTCCTTCTCCTTGATATCTATCTATTGTTACCCTACTTTTTCCTGAACTACTGCTTTTTTAGCTTGCTGTAACTTTTTCTTTTCATGTATTACAGATACCGTTCATTGTTCATAGTGAACAACCTTCTCTCCATGTATTTCAGTTATTGGAAATTTTCAGCTACCACCAATGATAATTATGTGCCCCTAATACAAGTATTGCCCGCCAAAAATGGAAGACAGTTTGTGCTACAAAAAAAAAAGGAGCTGCTATTGATTGAATCAGAAAGAAGATAACCTCAAGCGGACCTTAGTAGGCCTTTCTGCAGTCAAATTACTAGTTTTAAAGAAATCATTGACAGCTTAAACATTTGACTAAACAAAAAAGAATAAGCTTGAAAAAAGGCTTACCTCATCAACAGCATTGTCAAGAAGCTCTGCCAAGGCTTTAGACACCACAGAACAACAACAACAATATTAACACTCCGGTAATAGCATTTGCAATAATTCTATTACCACACAATAATATGGAAACGAAAAATAAACCAGCAATAGCACATACCACCAAATGCCCATTTATGGGAAGTGGCGTTTGAGTGAAGGAACTTCGGGTGAATGTGCAGGAAACTGGAGCCTTCTGTATAATGCCACAAATAAGATGATAACATATTAGATGCAAAGCACATACTTGAATTACAGATAAAGAATTAGGCTATAAGGCAATAAAGAAATAGGCTATAAGGCAATATAGAAAGGTAGGCAAAGAAAAGATTGACCAACTACAACTCACTTAGCAGGCATGGTTTATGCACGGCTAATCAATTAATTGTAGCCTATAGTCTTCATTTGGTGTTTTACCCAATTGAACATAATGATCATTTGCTAAAAGTATTTTTATTTTTTTGAGAAGGGATTGTTTGCTAAGAATAAATTTTAAAAAAAGGAAAAAATGGGTACTTCAGTGCATAATACTTTTAAGGGTGGACTTAGTAGCACGCCCCTCATCATAATTTCCAGCTCTCCAGAACTGGCGAGATAGGGGTGCTGAACATATTTGTGATGTAGAACAAAGGCTTGAATCATCTATCGGAGACTGATCTTGATCCAAGACAGTGGTTCCACTCTGTTCAGTAGCTGTAGAATCTTGCCTCCCGCCACTGCTTGAGGATTTTTGATATGGCAAGGAGTCAGCTTCACAGTACTCCATTTGTGGAAGTGAACTTTCAACCAATTCTGGTTCCAACTTAACAGTCTCTGTCTCCCCACCTCCAAGATTGTTACTACACAAGCCAACCATATTTGTAGAACTCATCCCAGGACTGATAAGAAATTAAATAAGGGAAAGTAAGTATACAACTAGATAAGCTAAAATGTGAGATAGAGAACTAGAGGGTTGAACATGATTGACAATGACTGAAAGTACAACAGAAGGCCAGTAAAACAGGACACAAGACTAGGGATACTTGCATCTCCTAGAAATTTTGGCCCTAATGTCAGACTAATCAGATCTTGAAACTAGGTGTCAAATAGGTTGTCTGTTTTGCCTTGCTTAAGCAAGGCTTCACCTAGAGCACTGCGGTGTGTGCCTCATTGCACATGGATTTGTCTGAGAATGACACTAAACAATAAATACCTCACCTAATTGAATTGCTTTCGATTCTTTTTGTCTAATTTCAAGAATCCTAATTGAATTTCTTTCAATTCTTTTTGTCTAATTACAAATTCTTGAAAGGACTAAAGATTAGAACATCATCCCAAACAGAAATTTCAAAAGATTTATTGACTGTGGACTGTTTTTGACACCCAAAATTCTTTTTAAACAAAATTAAACAAGACAACTGCAAGGCTACACCCCATTCACCCTAAAATAATAGGCAAGAAAACCTCAGTAATAATGGCAACCAAATAAAAAGATAAACCGAACCTCATACAAAAAATCCCAAGTCCCCAAGATTTTACTCTTTCTCCACCACCACTCCCACTAGGTCATCTTCTTGCATCCACATTCAACTTCTTGAATTGTATTTTCTCCTCTAAGTGAGAAATAAATTAGCCCCTAAACGTTAATTTTGCAGAAATTACTAGTTTCAATTCCAATTCCAATTAAAACAAATAAAGAATAAGGGATCTAAGTTAGCAAATAAAATTGGAAAGAATTCAAGAAACAGTAGTGAGAGGGAATCTGAAGTTGGTTCAAGCTTCCAAGAGCTAGGGCTGAAGATTACTGCAATAAAATAAGGCAGAAAAATTGTTGGAATGGACGAGTGCCCGGTTTTTCTTTTTGTTATTTCGCTTTTTGAAGGAATAAACCGAGTTTTTCAAAATAAAAGAGTCAGGTAGTTTAGACTTTATAGCTTCACCAAATCTGTCCTTTGCCTTGCTCTCTCCGCTCTTTTATTTTATAGGAATATAAATAATGTTCCATCACTCCGTCTGTTTGATTTTATTTTTCTATAGTTCGAATTTTGAATATGAAAAATTATAATGTCAATTTAATTAATCTCCTATAATGTGGATATTGGATTTTAAATTAAAATAAAATGTTGTTAAATATTATAATTACTAGGGCGATTAAAAATCACCCATTTTAAAAATATTTTTAACTGTAGATGATTGGACTAATTAGTAAAATTTCACTAAATTAATATAAGTGGATTAGGAAATATTATTATTTTATAGAGATATATATTATTTAATATATGAATTAATATTTATTACTAAGATTCCACATAAGTCCCACTGGTTTAGATCCTACTTACTATAGTTTCAATTATTACTTCCTCTATCATATTTTCACGCTTAGAATACATGAGTTTGAATCTACGAGATATATGATCTACCAAATTTCAAAACTGAAATACATTTTTCTTGCTTAAATTAAGTAGTAGTGAATGGTTTTCTTAATTAGAGGAGTAATTGAGGATTTTCAGAATGCGCCATTAATTCTAAAAAAAAAATCAAATCCCTTAATATAAGGCGAAAATAAAAAATTGTATCTATGTTTGATTAATTTCATTTTATTATTCTTTGAAATAATAAATTCATTGATATTATTAATAAAATATAAAAACATGTATATTTTGGTCATGTAATTTGATTTATTTGATTTTATTATTCTTAAAATAATAAATTCACTTATTTGATGTAACTATTATTAATATAGGGCGTGTCCGACAAATTAAACATTTAGATATGTGAGTATCATACAAGTATATTCATATAAATCATAAAAGTATCTAGTATTAATTTCGTGTATTTGTTATATTTGTCTATTATTAATTTCATGCATCTATTTATATGATCTAATATTAATTTCATGTATCTATTTATATGATCTAATATTAATTTCATGTATCTATTTATATGATCTTATTTTAGTACAATGTATGGGTATGATTCATTGCAATATATTTTTTTGTTGAATGCTTCATTGTAAAAATATATTAACTATACACAATGTTCATTGTTTCTTAATAATCAAATATCATTCATTGTATCTTTACTAAAAACATTCAATGCATGACGGTGAGAAGATAAATTATTTAAGCAACATAGAAAATTTATTGAAACCATATCCAAAAATGGCTTCACATTTAAAAGGTGCCAAAAAATCAACAACGACATATCAAATACGTAAAACATTGTGTGAATACAATTTTTTTGTAGTCGTGGCAACACTGGAGCTTTTGGATGCAATAAAAAAAGTTATAGACGAGCTTCAACGGGATTTAAATTCTAACAAAAAACAATAGAATCACATTTCACTAAATTGTCTTGGATATATTTGTACTTTTAAAAAATTATTAACTTATAATATTAATAGGGTCATATATTTATATATGTTGTCTTTTGAAAATATATTATCTTATTGACATGAGTGATATTTAGCTCAAGTCGGGACAAAAAAATATTATCTTTAAAACATTATAATCTATTGAGTATTAATTTAGTTGTATGTGCTTGGTCGTTCGGAAATTGAAATGATCTTTTATTTTGATTATAATTTTGACTTTTTTTTTTAAAGAACTTTGAAGAAAAAACGTTTAAAGAACAATACTTATTATGAAATAAAAAAATATGAAGATAATTGAATATTTAAAAGAGAGAATGGCAATACTTGTTGGCCGTTGCATTGAATCACTATATTAATCCTTGCATTAACATTAAAAGTTATATCACTATTTATAAAAAATTAAAGAAAAAAATACTAAACTAAAGGGGAACGAGATATTTTGGAATTACTATAGATCATAAATTTAGAAAGAAAAAATAAATTTTTTACGATATTTCTAGATAAAAAAGGAAGGTAAATATTCTACTATTAATGTAAATTATAAAGAAATCTAATTGTTGTACATTAAACTTTTTAGGGAAAAGGGTCTGATATACCCCTCAACTTTGTCATTTGGAGCTGATATGCCCCTTGTTATGATAGTGGCTCGTATATACCCTTACCGTTAAACAAACGGCTCACATATACCCTACCGTTACAAATGAGCTCACATATACCCTTAATTTAATGAAAGTGAAAAAAAATAGTTTTAAATTTATGTTTTTGACTTTTAAATTTTTTAAAAATCATGTAGAGGTATATATGATCCTTCTAGCGAATTTCAAGGTATATTTTAATCTTTTTTATACATAAATTATTTTTTGACGTCTTTGATTATCATTTTTTGAGTTTCTTATTTTTATTTTTTTCTTTTGTTCGTTAGTGTAAAGAGAAAATTTTAAAACTATTTTTTTTGTGGCTATATTATAATTTAAAACGTCATCTATAATAAAGCTTACAAGAAAATTAGTGAAACATAAATAAATTTGACCATCAAAACAATAACTTTAAATTAGTCGTTGAAAAAAAAAAGTAAAAAAAAAATTATGTGTGAGGAGGATTAAATATACCCATATGGGATTATGTTTAAAATAATATTAATAATAATTAAAATATTAAAATAAAATTAATTTTTTCACTTCCGTTAGAGAAAAAGGATATATGTGAGCCATTTGTATAGTAATAGGGGCATTTATGAACCACTTTCATAATAAGAGTATATCAGCTCTAATTGATAAAGTTGAAGGATATATCAGACCCTTTTCCCAACTATTTAACATCATATCAGTGAGACTTATTTTCATATATTTATGTTTTTGCTAGAGCAAAATTTACACTAATTGAGACTTACTTTCACATTTATTCTTTACGAGATCAAAATTTACCCTAATAGATATTTTTGCAATTTTAAAATCTAAATACTTAAATTTCTCAAGTATCATCCGAATATAATGAGAATGAGACAATTGTAGACCTTGAACAGTATTGAGGATATTAATTCATAATATCCAATTGACAACTCCCAACTCTTTCCTATCAAATTTATTAGAAAGCACAAAATAATTATTTAGACATTTCATTTTTGACCGAAATGTCTAAATAAATTATTTACGATTTTTTGTGAGCTCTACATTGTTTCGCATGAACATGAAGTTTATTTATTTGTTGGTGTCCTTTTTTTATGTTTTCCACTCAGTGTTCAAAGCTCACATTGGAGCTCCGATTAAATTTAGATCGAGCACTGCAGGGCCCATTCAGGGGTGGCGCTCCCAACATGATTTTCTCAATACCTCGGGCTCGAACCCGAGACTTCTGGTTAAGGTTGAAGCACACCCACCATTGCACCACAACCCATGTTGATTAAAAATTTGGACCATTTCTCGATTCGTACATGTCATCCTTGCACAAGGACCATGCTAATCTTCTTTGTATCGTTCCAATTTTATCGGATGTCCCCGAAGGTGTCCTTTCATTTTAAAGTTCTTAGAGTTGCTCCACGGCTCCACCTGTCATTTTCATGTGTCATAAATATATTTATGTGGTTATACAATTTTGACTAATATTACGCATTCTTTTTTTATATTTGGAAACATATATGCGATAATTGTGTGGCAAATGTTTAGTTGATAGATATTGGGATTAAGCGTATTTGAATTGACTTATTTTAATCCTCAATAACTTTTAATATTTTAAATTATTTGATAAATTAAAGAAAATACTTATAATCACTTGTTTTAACGTATAAGTCAAAAACTAAAAGTCAAAAGTTAATTCAAACATGCTTACTTTGATGACATTGATTAGTTGTGTTATAAATTTTTGAAATAAATAATTTTGAGTAGACACAAGTCATTGAAACTTAATCCTATTTTCTACAATCTTTGTTAAACGATCGTAAATTGGACTATGATAAGGTGTAACATCAATTTTAAAAACTGTTTTTTATGTTTAAACTCAACATAAATTTATGATTTGGTTCATAATACAAAAATTACCCTAATTGTGATACAAATTTTTAATTATACATCAAAACTAGGGGCGTGCATTCGGTTTTTGGTTTGGTTTTTCTCTTTTTGGTTTAGTTTTTTCGGTTTGGTTAATCGGTTATGTCAATAATTAGAAACATAACAAAGTTATATTTGCAATTTAAAAAAATTTATATATATATATATATATATATATATATATATATATATATATATATATATTGAATTTCTTAAATATACTTTTTAATACAAATCACAAGTAAAACGTAAAACACAATACTTAAAAATATATCAATTATAGATATCCAAACATTTTAAAAAAAAAACTAAATCATAATGAAAATAACTATAAAGGAACAAAAGTGGTCAACTTATATAATATAATTCGACTTTTTCGATTTTCATTTTTCTAAATCCGAAACCAAACCAAAAAACCAAACAAAGTAAATTATTAATTAAAAAACCAAACCAAAGATCCAAAAAACCAATCCAAATTAGAATTCAATTTGATTTGATTTTTCGGTTTAATCCAAATAGTGCACACCCCTAATCAAAACCTACCCCTTTTTTTTAAAAAAAAAAAAAAGTAACAATCCATTCGATTAGGTTAAATTAATTGGTTACTTAATTTTAGAATTATAGTTATTTTGACACCGCTACCATTTTATACTTTAGTTTTAAGGTCTTTCAGAAATGAAATGCGAGTTTATTGGAAAGAGAATTAGAAACGGCAGAGAGAAGATATGGCGGATTTCATGACATCAACTCATAAAACCAAGTGGCTTTATACTCCCCAAGATATTGTGAGTTACAATTGTTCATCAAAACTTAATCTTGGAGAATGTCAGTTTTTTTTTTTTCGTTTTCCCATTTGTATTTGAGTTTTTTGATTTATGAATGTTTTACTGTATTCACAGAAACATAAGTATAAAGTTGCTAATCAAAGGGCGAAACAAGCACTAGAGATGGTATGCTAGTTCCATTTCCTTTTTTTTTTTCTTTTTTCATTTTCTGTGTGCTTGTGAATATGTTTTCTTTTTGTTTGAGCTACCCTTTTCACCTAATTATGTTTTGTTTTGATGAAAGCAATGTGAATGTGTTCTTTGACCTTTTGTTGCTGTAGTTAGTGTTTATACTTAAGACATGGTTCAAACACACGCGTATTGAGATGTCCAAAACATGTGGTTTGTGTATTGTAGCTTGCTTTATCAATACAAACAAGGCAACATAAATGAAAAATATGGTATAGACATGAAGAGATAAGTTAAGTGAATAGAATGAACCTGAGTTCCGGTGCTGGTAGCTGGCAGTGTCACTGCGTAAGCTTGATCTTTTTGATATTATTCAGAATAATAGAATCATAGAGTTTCAGAGCTTAAGAACATAAAGTAAGATTATAATGCTGGTAAATGAGTAAAAGTTAGATGGTTTACAATGAGTTGATATAAGATTATTTACAGCTAAGCCCTAGAGACCAACTTCCATGGATCTAGCCCACATTAAGTCCATCAGTTGCACATTTATTTCAGTTACGTGACGGATGGCAGAGATCTCTAGCTCTTTCCGCAATGACTGACAGAGATCTCAGGCTCTTTCCACTACGGCTGGACCCCTGAACTTATCTCGACCTTAGCTTGTTTGGTCACAACTTGGTGGCCGGTCCCATATTTCCGGAGCTAGGCTGTCTTCACCATTATGACTCCAGCCCCGACTGTTTTGACTCCGGATTTTTCATTGATAGGATTTCCCTTACTGGTCATTTGGTGTTGTCGCTGCTAAGTCACTTTTGACCTATTCTTTTTGCCACATGTCGTTTCTTGATTGTCCTAAGTCTTAAAGCGCAACTTTTACCCCATAGAGTTAGATTGTGTAGAATTTCTTTTCCATTTTATGTGTATGGTGTATGGAAACATTACCTGAAACTTTTATGGCCCAGAACATAGGTCTGATTTATAGTGCTTGTGGGTTTATGAATAATAGTATAATACTGATAGCTAATTCTATTGTGAAGTTTGGAACAACTCGAATGGAAGTTGATATTGATGGGACTTTCTCGTATGCTGAAAGTCAAAATGACGCAAAAGATAATGGTAAGATTGTATTTATTCAGATCAAAGTAAAACTAGAGAAACTATAAAGTTTCTGGTTTACCTCCCTTTAATCTTGATAGATAATCATAATTCTCATCATTCTTTTGGTTGCTATTTTGGTTGGCTTGTTAGCTGAAAAGCATCCTAAACCACTCAAAGTTGAAGAAGAACAACTTCTAAGGGCTTTCTACGAATTCAAAATTCAAGACGTCTGTGATGCCTTTAAGTTCCCGCGTAAGATTCAGGTATAAAGTTTTGATTATTGGATCTGCTACTACAATGAATCAACTAGAAGATTAAGCAGTTCTCATGGTTGTTTGCAGGCAACGGCTCTCATTTATTTTAAGAGGTTTTATCTGCTATGGTCCGTGATGGAACATCACCCCAAAGAGATTATGTAAGCTTGTTATCTATCTTCTCTGTGCTTTCTCCAACTTCCCAATATAAGAAAATCTAACTAGTCTCCCCCTAAACAAAGTCATCTGGAATCCACATATAATGATGCATGCAGTAGTTGATAGTTGACAAAGACAAAGCTCACTAGCTTCCCCTTCTTCCTTTTTGTAGGTTAACGTGCATATATGCAGCTTGCAAGGCAGAGGAAAATCATGTATCAGCTGAGGAGCTTGGTAAGGGGATTGGACAGGATCATCATGTAATCCTCAATAATGAGATGCTGGTTTTTCAGGCATGGATTTTATTTAAAGGTTATTTTATTCTGCATTTCCCTTTAAATCTTGCTTTAATAAACTTTTTTATAACCTTTCTTTTGCAGAGTCTAGGATTTGATCTGATTGCTTATGCTCCATATCGTGCACTTGAAGGTTTTATCAGTGATTTAGAGGTCTTTTTCTGTTGATCTGTTACACCTTCCCCTTTGAGTAATAATTGCTTTGTTGCCTTTTGATATCTTCCTTTTGATTGGTAGTTATTTCCACTCCTTGATTTCTTCATTGCAATTATTGACTATTGCTCTTGAAACTTTAGGAGTTCTGTGGAGCTCAAGATGACGACCAGCTTGTGGCACTGAAGGTAATTGCTATTTCCTTCCGACAAGAGAAGGTAGTTCAAATGAAAAGTCCCTCAACCTTGAGCTTGAGAATTCAAGTTACGAAGGGATCTAAATGGAGGAAAAGGGCCACAATTGACTCCTGGGAGGGGGTTAGTGGTGGGGCCGATGTAGGTTAACATATAAAAACAAATTGTTATTTCCTTGGCCATACAGTTTCCTTTTTATCAAATAAAATGTTATTCCACTATTTCTGCTCCTTGTAAATTCTGGCTTCTAGCAATTGAATTTCATACAATATTGCCCAATAACTAGTAGTTTTGCAGTTAAACCCACCCAAACCATGTAATCTACATGCGATATTGAAAATCTGCAGTTCTCCCTCCAATGGAACAAATGCTGATTTCACTCTTCCCATTTTTATTGTTTCTAATTCTTCCTTAGATAATCAAGGTTAATGCATCTTCTTGCTAGATTATCATCAATCTTCTTTTGAACATCATCAAAGTGGCATGTTGGAGACATGGTGATTATTATAATTCAATTTCTTCTTAGAGTTTCACACCATAGATCCCTATCTAGCTGATTGAGCTACCAACCAACTAATCTTTCTTTATACTTCAATTAATTTCTTCAAAACATTTTTGTGTATGTAACTTGTGACAAGAAGAAGGAATCGACTTCCCTCATAAGTAGATGGTAACATTCTGACATGCATCGATGCATTACTAACCGTGATTCATCTACTGTAGATATTGAATTAATTTGGTTATTCCTGATTGAGTTCTTACCTCATATATGGGAAATAATTCAATTCATATTACTCTGACCTCTGGAATTGTCTACCATCTAAGATTATTTTCTTCTGAAGTACAGGGTGCACTTGATACTGCTAGGATTGAAGCAGATAAGATTATGCGTAGTGATGGGCCACTTCTATTCCCACCTGGGCAGGTTATATTTTATAATTTACATCCTCTATTGAAATGATTTTATACTGTATGAATGTGATTTCTGGCTCTTCCCACCTGCAGAGGATTATATTAACAAATACATACATTTTTGAGGCTTGCTTCATCTTTGTTGAAAGAAAAGTTTCATGTTCCACTCAGTCATAAACTTTTGATATTAGTTTGTTCCCTTCTCATATTTTTTGTTTTCATGTGAAGTGTGGACATGGAGAATGGATCCTCTGTTATTGACAGTTAGTTTTTCTAGTATGATTAGACTGGATCAAATCTAGTTCGTTTGAAGCTTAATAAAAAGCAATTCTGGCTATAATTTCCCATAAGCTCCTTCTAACTAGCCCTGACAACAAACTATGACGATCTCTGACAACTAACCGAGGCTATACTTTTTGTCTGATGATTGATCGGAATTTTTTGGGGGAGGAAGAATGATGATCAATTAATCTAAAATAAAACATCTGATAAAGTGCAATAAATGGTTAAGTTTTGAAAAGAAAGGAATTCACATCAAATATAATGCCATAGACGATATGTGCAGAGGAGCGATCACAAGTGTAAGTATGGTGGGGAAGGGGAAGGAACAATGGACTTCTCCATGTGGATTTCTACCGGGGATCTATCTTGAGTATGTACTTACTTAACCTAGTTATGGATGAGCTAACCAATAGTAAACGAGATGCCATAGTTGGTTCAGGATTGGTATTGTCCTAGTGATTCTTTTACTAATATACTGTAGTTTTTTTTTTGAGTTAGGAATTATCCTCTGTATCTTTTTCCTCAACCCAAACGCACAGTATTTTGCAACCAGAGGCAATTCATGATTTGCGCATTGTGTGTTCGAGTTCGAATTTATAATAATCCATTTACTTCATTGGGTTCAAAGTTTATTATTTGTACTTATTTAGTGAATATTTAAACACACATGCAAGGTTTGAGCCAAAATTACTTGTTCGGATGAACCCGTAATTTATTATCTGGGTCCTTCTCTGTTTGCAACTCTGGTTCATACTGCTGATAATTCTTCTCTGATCCTTTTAATGCTTTTCATTACCTTTACTGCCGATATGCGAGTTTGGGAGTTCCAAATGTTGTCTGTGGGTTTTTATAACCAAGGAAAGCCTCCACTCATAATTGGATAATGTGCCCATAAGGTGGTTGTAGATAGATTCTGGAGGAGTTCTTCTATATTTTGGCGAGGTTGTGCCCATAGGACTCATATTTAGCACAGGACAAATTATGTGATTAGTCAATATTAGATGATAGCTGTTTTGACACAGGACAAGACTGCATTTTGGAAAAAATTGAAACGCATAAGGAGAAACTTTTTTCTGATGATCACTGAATGGTACCATACTTGACATATGAGAAATTCATCATCTGATGACCTTGTTGGATACCACAGTCAATTAAAACTCTGGCTTTTGCATTCTATGTGATGATTTGCTCTTTTAAAATGTGCTACAGAATACAGATAATAATACTCATATGCACATCTTCTTAGATAATTTTCTTATTTAAGTTTCTTTTTACTTATTTCAGTTGGCATTGGCAGCTCTGCATAGAGCTAATGCAGTGCATGGCATATTCGATTTTGAGAGGTCTCAGTCCCTTTCTCATTTGGACAGATCCACAATAATCCGGTAACACTCTTATTGACATGATAATGATTCTTCTACCAGGTACCTGAGAAGTGTCCTATCACATCATGATCAGCCAGGTCATGCAATTTCAGAACTTACTGGTTCTATAAACGCCATTGATTCTTTGGCAAGTACTTAATCTTGTTATTACTGCATGCCTGGAAGTGTTTATCTTTCTCTTCTTCTTTCTTGAAATATTACTGACTTCTTCCCTGAAATCTTCGTTTGGGTTTAACATAGTCCTCTTACTGCCTGAACTCCTGACATTTGAACAGATTGGTAAACTTTTGACTCCGACTTCCAAAGATGTGAAGCACATTGATCGGAAACTCAAATCATGTCTTGATCCGGGTTCACATGACAAGTGTGTTCAATCAACTCTAATTTGATTGTCATTTTTTCCATCGTTTGGTTTCGCCATAATTCATTCGCCCAGCCAGAAAATAATGCTGGTTTGTATTTGCAGGAGTAAAAAAAGGAAGCATAGATCCAAAGATATCTCAAATGAGGTTACAGACATCTCTTAAGCTGCTCTTAACTAAAGTTTGTAGCTTCAAGCATATGTTATTTGGCCGGTGGAAATAGTTCCTCATCACAGTTCCCTAATATAGAGCAAAAATTCAAGTCAGACTGGAAAACACGGTCTACTACATTTGCATCAGGTTTGAGAGAAGAAGCAGACGCGGAAATGGGATCAACGTTTATGATTCTTCGCATTGAACTCATTGTATTGTTAAAATTACAGGTTTTGATCTTATATTTGTTGAGATTTTAGTAGATATATCTTTACTCCATATCGAAAGTTATGATTCAGTTGAACCTATAGCCAAAAGGCAACATTTGTCCCCCCGAGAAGATCGCATTATTAAAGACCGTACGTATGACTGGACAAATGTGTTTTATATAACATTTTTGGTCTTATATTTACTAATTCTATTTTTTTTCAATTACTATTTGGATAAAGTATACAATTCAGGTGTTTATAAATTAGCAGCAGTATACAGATTTATATTTAGGGATAAGGGTTTGAAAAATACTCCAATTTTGGTCGAATTTGCTGTTGCGATACTAAATTTTCATAAGGACCTATTACCTTCGTAGACTATTTAATACCGTATTTTTTATTCCCTGAACTATTTAATAGTATATTTTAAAAGTATATATATGTCCATGTGGACACATTATTATTTATAATTTTGCATTATTTTTTATGCCCATGTGGGAAAATATATATGTTTAAAATACGGTATTAAATAGTATAGGGAGGTAATAGGTCCTCATGAAAGTTTAGTATCACAACAACAAATTCGATCAAAGTTGGGATATTTTTCAGACCCTTATTCCTTATATTTACAGTTAATAACTATGCCGTGCAACTCTAGTTTCCATCAGCTAATTAATTAAGTAATTAATAGACAATTCTCCGCTTAGAAACAGGTGCATTTGAGATTTTGATCTGTATGATCATTTCATCTAACAATTTAAGTTGCTAGCTAAAAATAACAATATACTCTTAATTATATTATGTCTCAACAAGTATGAATTAAGATCGATAGCAAACATATGGCATTACACATCATGACATGAATGATGTCATTTACATATATGGTGCAAATCATTTAAAAATCAAACTAGGGTTTGGATAATTCTATAATAATACTATTATTATATATAATCACAACTTTTTAGTGAAACGGGATGAACAGTGGATTCAGCTCCCCACTAGCTAGGATCCCTCTTCCAGGAAGAGTGGTCCCCCCATTCCCTTAATTACGCAAACCCTAGGTTGCCTGCTTAAACCCTAATTCCAAAAATTTGTCTGGTTAATCGGAAGTTTTGAAAACCATTAATATGTTTAAGTAAAGATTGCTACCAAAAATTTGATGATTAGATGGTATATTTCCTCACAATTAAAAGTTTAAAGTGTCTTGAAGAGGTCGGAGAGTAGAATATTTTTTTGGGAAAATTGTATATAATGGCAAACTAATAATTCAAATTAAATGGTATAACCACACTTTGATTTAATTGTGTCCTGTAGCAAACTGTTTGCCAGCGTCTCTCTCCCTCAAACTCTCGCTCGCCACTCTCCTCTCTCGCTCACTCCCTCTGTGTTCTCCTCTCTCGCTTTATACACAGAAGTGTATAAATTGCGTTTCTGTTTGTATAAAGCGAGAGAAAATTGTATATACACATGCAAATACATATATATTCGTCCTATACACTTATAATTATACAATAAAAATATTCTCCTGCCCAGTTCTCTTGTGCCTTTCTCTCTTTCTCGTTTTATACAACAGAAGTGTATAAATTGCGTTTCTGTTTGTATAAAGTGAGAGAAAATTGTATATACACATGCAAATACATATATATTCGTCCTATACACTTATAATTATACAATAAAAATATTCCCCTGCCCAGTTTTATGTTTGTATAATGAAATTATACAATTCTGAAGAGGAGCCAACGAATTATACAATTGCTCTTTTTGTATATATGTATAGCGAAATAGACAGCTTTTAATTGTATATGTATAGCGAATTATACATATATATGTTTGCTATGGAGCGCAATTATGCAAACTTTGCTATAGCATACAAATATGATTTTTTTGTTTGCTATATGTGAAAGTTACTCTATTTTTTTTTGTTTCTCATCCAGTGTCTGTAGCCCACATTGAAGCTTCTACTAAATTCAGAGAGTAGAATAACTTTTTTTATGTTTCCCGTCCGGAGCCCACATTGGAGCTCCGACTAAATTTGGATCGCGCACTGCAAGGCCCATTCGAGGGTGACGCTCCCAACAAGATTTTCACCATACCTCGGACTCGAACCCGAGACCTCTGGTTAAGGGTGAGACACTCCCACCAATGCACCACAATCCATGTTGGTGGAGAGTAGAATAACTATTTAATGGCATACTAAGATCATGTGGTAATGTTCGATGAGCAGTGAAAAAGTATCCTGATTAAGCCAATGTTATTTGGAGTGAATATTTAAAGTCTGTAGAGAGAGTCAAATGATAATTAATATGGATGAGTGATTATACAAGAATTAATTAGCAAGATTAAAAATGCCACATTTTAGAGAGTGCAAAGCAAGCTAAGTAGCACACATTGATATAACACAAAATGCTAGAAGGTTGCTTGAGAAGGTATATAGTATAAATTGCAAAATCATATCATTATGACGATGTTAAAAGGGATCGGAATTATAATGAGGTAGATCTCGAAACTAGAATCACATGAAAGAAAATTTACAATCTCTTGGAATCCTTATTGTGGAATGTTTCTATCATTCTATGTATTAGGATCGGAATATATTAATCATGTATGTAATTTCTACATTATAAGAATTGCTATATAGTATCACACTTTAAAACTGCAGAGCAAAATAATGCTTGCTAGATTTAAAAGAAGGTCTAATTAAAACATTTGCATATATTAAAGGAAAAAAATATCTTAAATAACTGTGATCAATCATTAGAACTAAAGATTGATATACATATACATGAATGAAAATAAAATAAAAAACAAAAAACAACAACAGAGAAATTAAATAGCAACACTTGACAAAAACTCCAGAGAAGATTAATTAGTATGACACATACAAATTGAGAAATGATCCAAATATTTATTAATTGAAGCGTCTACGTTGCACCCTTTCCATTATATTAAACTCTAATGGTGCACTTGGAGCTTCTTCATCATCATCATTTAAACCTAATTTATTTTGATTAGCTCTTAATCTTTCAAAGTCCCTCAACTTATACAAGTACCTCAACATAACCTCTGCATAGTTGTCAAAACCAAGTGAACTCAGAGCCCAACAGATGTCATCTCCATTAACCGTTCGACGATTCTCCTTTTGACACTTGTCAGATGCTTCACCAGTTACAAAACTTATAAATTCTGATGCACATTCTTGCATTGTCTCTTTTGCTTCTTTGGATATTTTGGCTGTTGGTGGCAAGATTTGTTTCATAATCCTTCCTACATTGGCTATTGGTACCAATTTCACTTGTTCATCCACCATATCTTATAAAATTTGTTGTGGATTTTTTGTTGATGTATGGGTGGATTTAGGAATTTAAGTTAGTGGATGTTAATTTAGAGTGCGTGCACATTTTTTTATATATATATTTTGAATTTTTAACTGTATATATATTTAAGTTGAAAACAGTAGATACACATGTATTCTGTATTGGATAAGGTGAATTTCGCCCATAATAATGTATATGTACTTGTCAACATATGCATGTGCATGGAGAAGTGTGATATATATGAATAGTGTTGAATATATAATTAAGTAAATAAAAATAATTTTTTTTTTAACAAATGTTTAGATTTTTTGTCACGATTTTTAGTACAATGTACTTATAACTAAATAAAAAAATTAAATTCAAATCTTGAATCTTTGGTCAAAGTTGACAAGATTAGGAGTTTTAAACTTGCTAAATAATTTTTAATTTCCTTATTTAAACTGGTTTAAAATAATTAAAAGTATTAACACTAAAGATTGAAATGAATGGACGACGTTAATGCACGTTTACATGTGCTATTAATTAATCAAATTAAAGAGCAGAAATGGAAGGAATGATTTACTAATACGAAGCCCTAGTGTTTGATTACCTCATAAGCTTTAGGTTATTGTCGGCACAACCCTTAATTAATTAAGCTTTTTATAATTTTACTAATTAAAAACACTACTGTATCCCCACATGATGAATGTTTACTGCAGATTCTGCTTTTAATGGAGTAATATTATTTTCCCTCAAAATTATGAAATCCTTAGTGTACTTGATCATGTTAATTACATTATTTATTTGTTTGTGGTACTATGGCTATAGGGTTTCTTATTCATTTTTTCTTGCTATTGAGTTTAAGTTTTGTACACTAATAGTAAATTATGTTCTAGCGGCCAGCCCATAAATGAGGATAAAATGACAATATTATTTTATTACAAGATTTGCGATTAATTTGACGCTCACTTTATTTACAAAATAAATTATAATTAATAAAAAGATTTCATGATTTTATCCCCTTTTGTTTTGATTTATTTATGCCAATGTCAAACACACATTTTTACATTTTCACTACTCAAACTATACTCTTCTTTTATTCGTCATACAAAAGACTTTTTGACTAAATAAATCAAAGTATTTGTAGACAATTTTTATTCATATTGAATGTATGTATATGAACTTTAAAAAAATAAAATTACTTCTATAGAAAATTTTATGTTTTAAAATGTGTATTGTTTACTACAAAATTGCTTGTGTAATTTTTTTGGAAAATACAAAAAACAAGTAAAACACATTCGATATTTAAGTTCAATAAGTTAACTGAGCTATCAAGCGGGTGGTAATGGCATTGGGCCCATGGCCAGTGACTTAGAGTTAGGTAGGACTTACGGGTATAGACGAGCTTCTTTCATCAAAAAAATTACAGTATTTATATATGATTAAAAATAATATTTATGTATATATAGTACTCTCTCCGTTCCATTTTATATGTCATCCCTTTTTATAAATAGCTGAACCACAATATTTGTCATTTTATAAAATTTATGCATAAATTATCATATTTTGCCTATTATACCCTTGATAGAATAGTTAATTAATCTCGTCATTTATTAATAAAGTTGACTTAAGAAAACATTAAATAAAGGTAAAAGAGTAAAGTTACATCATTTCTTAATGCAAGTGCAAAATAAAAATGTGACATATAAAGTGGGACGAAGGGAGTAGATGATGTTGAACCCTCATATACTTTTTCATGTGTTTATTTCTTCATATCTTAGAACCTCTTAGTGAAAATCATGATTCCGTCATGAATTGAGTGTGTATATATATATTCCTACTATAGTCAAACGTCAGTACTCAAATTGAACTTATAATGTAAAAATATATATACTACTAAATAATTAATTGTAGTTATGCAGAACATTCTTATTGGTCCGATAAATTTAGTTTTGCAAATTAGCTCAATCTCTTATTTACATGTATTTATTTATATTTATATTTTAAAGAAACAACAACAAGCTTCTCTTATCGACACATCTAGGGTTAGAAACTTTATAGGTATTCCAAGTCATTATTTTATGTGAAAATCCATAAAGAGACTCTCAAGCACCACGTTAATTTTTGGGAACATGTGGAGTATCTTACTGTTGAAACAACTAGAAATTTCTTTTTGAAAAAAAGTCTATAATCTAATTGGCCATTTGGCCCAGCCTATTGCTACAGAACTCTATAGTCTATATTCACAAGATTCTTCTCTAAGTAATATTTCTATACTAGATGGGCATGGTCCGTGCTCGACACGGTCCCAATATATTTTTTAGCCATGGTCAATTTTTGATAATTTGCATAGCCCTTTGATCATCAATAATCATATAGTAAAGAACAAAATAACAACGGAAGACAACACGTGAAAAAACAAAAGCCTCATATATGTAAAATGGTTAACGACAGATTCCATAGTAGAGTGTATAGAGTAAAGAGTCAATAAAAATTGCATTCGGTGTCCTGCTTGAAAAGGTGTATTCGATTGATAATGTAAAATCTAAGTTAAATTGTCAACTTCGACGATGCACTAATTCAACCCTCAATGGTAAAGAACCTTCAGAACTCACAAACTTAGCTAAAGATACACCAAGACATACATATTCTGCACATATATATAAGATCTCCGACTTGTTGAAGCTCAAGACTTGTTCTCACAACCTTTGTTGTAGCTGCTAGTCTCAAAAGCTCTCATTCATAATTTTTCGAGGACCAAGTTACCTCTTTGTCTACATTTGGTTGAACAAATAAATTTATTTATAAAATATGAAGGAAAAAGTCACAATAGAAACATATGAGCCAAAATATAAAAGTTAGATGTAGTTTTTCCATTAATCCATTACCAGAGTGAAAATGATCAAAACAAGTAAAATTTAGCAGCTATTGATTCATAATCAGACTTGAAGCAATTAGTTAAAGCAAATAGGATTTATTGTAGAAAAAGCTGACATTATTCTAGAATCTTTCATGGAATTTTACATATACTCATAACTTAAGTTAAATGGTTAACACCTTTCATATAGCTCCAAAAGTACTGAAGGAAACTAAACAAAAACATTAAAACAAAATCAAGAAATCATCACTTCAGTGAAATTCAGTATACAGTCACAACTCATATCTTATATGTGATGAGTACAACTTTTAATGGCTCAAAGATAAGGGAAAATTATTGTCAGTTGCTTATGCTAGGAGTAATTGCTAATTAGTGAAGTGCTACTTACATAGGATAGGAGTAATTTTCAACATGCATGTCATTACAATGTTGACAAGCAAATTCATATATTAAGATTTTCACACACACATATATATATATATAGCGTGTTTGGCCATTTGCTTCTAAAATCAGCTTATCTTGAAAAGTGTTTTTTTTTCTAAAAATACTTTTGGTGAGAAGTAGTATATGTATGGCAAGAAAATTTAAGTACTCTATGACCAACAAATAGTGTTTGGCTAGGCTTTTAAAAAGGGCATCAAAGTTTATTTTTTATTCTGAAAAGTGCTTTTTAAATAAACACTTTTGCGCTCGCTAATTTTTTTTGCGTCCAGAAAACTACTTTTGTTGCTCTCTAGAAGCACTTATTTTCTCCCTAATGCTTGGTCAAACACCTCAATAAGGGTACAACTTTTAATGGCTCAAAGATAAGGGAAAATAATTGTCAATTGCTTATGCTAATAACAGAAACATAAAAGACTATTTGAAGATGAAACTTATAAGTGATAGTGCAAAAATAGTACACAAACCGAAGCAAAAGTGAGACACCTATTCATTCACCAATAAAAGAAAGTCAATTTACTGTACAATTTCTACTACCTTTAGTACAATTAGGAGATGTTGTGTTCGTCCTTTCATTGTTCACTTATTAGTAAGGGTAATATTGGGAATATTTAAAGAATTAGTACCCTAAATAACTTATAAACTATCAATGTTTTGCGAGTTTAATATTTGAACTAGCTAGGGTGATTGGTGTGTTAAGCATATTCTTCATGTATAGGAATGTAATAAACTTCTTGTTTAATAGTTTTTTATGCTCTACTATGTGTGTAGATGATAGATCATGTTCAATTTATGATTGAAATTAGGAAATGAATCAAAAGATAATTTGTCTCTTAATTATACTATTGAAATGTATTATATTTTTGGAAATTTTACACAAACTTCATAGTGTTAAGAACTAATTACATCCTATTCCTACTCTTTTTCAAATTATTTAAATCCCTTAAATTTGGTGGAATATGGATACATTCCAAAACGTCCCAATACATAGCGTCCCGGTTTTGAATACATCCCTCAAGTCTCAACATCCTGATACATCACTCAATGTTCCGATACACCGTGTACGTCCCGATTTAAACCGATACATCGTGTAAAGTGATGTATTTGAGAATAGAAGAGAGTAAAAAATTTTGAATTTTTTTTAAATGATAGAGAATTTTAGAGAATATGATAAAAATAAGTTGTGTATTTAGATAAATTTTTTTTATATTTTTCATCCTATTCTGGACACCTTAAACTTGCAAATTGGATTATTTTGTGTGGGAAAAGAAAGAAAGAAAAGATTATTTGTGGGTTTTGAATAAAAGCAAAATGGGCCAGTAGCAAAACTGTGGATCCAACAGTTCAGTTTGCAAGTTTTCCTCCTAACGGCTGGTCTTTAAATGTTATAAATTTTAGGAATCACACAGTTTTAATATGAAATTACAATTTATCCCTATTTAGTTTGTAATTACATTAATCCCTGAAAAAGTAAAACAAACCGGATACATAATATGTAGCTCGGATACATTATAAAATAATTTAGAATTAGGAGAGAAATAAGGGATTTTAAAGGTTTTTAGAAATAGAAGGAATTATTAAAAATAAGGGAAACATAAGACGTGTATTTCAGTAATTTTTCCTTAAATAACTTGATAAATTTGACAGTCTTGGACTGAGCCCAATGAGCTTCATCCTTTGTAAGTTCTTTGAAAATGAGCATAGAGCATCTTGGGCCACTAGCAAAATTGGTAAATTTATTCGCACAGAGGATATTAACACAAAATCAATAAATGCATGTCTGTGTATAAATATACATGATTATCACTTAATCATAATCATTTTAGGTATATATTCATTTCATTATATCACTTAGCTTCAGTAAATTGCATCAGTTAATCAATAGTTCATTTGGCATGAGTTGGGTGCGAGGAATAGTGGACATGATAGAGTGACTACGATTAAATTGTGTGGCGTAAAAGCACTATTCGTTCTTTGAGACGGGTCTCTCGTCTGCGAGGGAGCAACTTGTTTAGTCTTGCATACTGTTCATATTTATTATGAGAATGAAATAATGCCTCCATATATTTTGAGTCTAAGACTTCCGAATTTTTTCATTCAAAACAATAGTTTTTTTTAGCTAATCTAGTGGATAAGACGACTCCCCGCCCCGACCCATGGATATGGTCATGTAAACGATACATGGACAGCAATTTAAGTTAGCCAATATCCCACTAATTCTATACATTGTGATCCCTTTGTCATAGCGCTAGAAATAAATAATTCAACGGCCAAAACCTAAATTTTAAACCAAATGGAACTTTAACGGTCAAGCCCACCCACCCCCTCAAAGTCAACGTTAACATCTATTTATCTCACATAATTATAATAAATTTTGTATATCCTAGAGAAATGTGTAGTAATTACTCTATCTCAGTTGATTATCTCAAGTTATATATTAATTTAACACCCATTTGCCCTTTATCCAAGTTCATGAACATGCCCATATGTGTTATAAGCTTAGAATTCACGATTTTCCAGCTCTTTAGATCAATTGGTATTTGTTTCAAGCAATTTTTAATGCTAACTTTTAAGCTAATGTACACCATTTTATTTGAAGTTCTAGATCAGTTTTACACCTTGCTGACCCAACTTGTTTGAAATTAAGGCGTAGTTGTTGTTGTCGTCCAATTTTACCCATTCTTGGTGCTAAAACCAGGTAATTAATTAATGGTACTCGATCTGCTTCTTAGTTGATTATATGAATTCTATTTATGTGGGCAATGTTTATATTGAATCTTTGTTCTGTTTTTGATGATTGGGAAATCTTAGGATAGAATTGTTGGAATTTTAGTATTGATTGAGAATGGGTGAGTCCATCTTTTGTTTTAGAAAATGTAGATTAGGAAGAGTAATGGGTTGCATTCAGCTTGTGCTAGGTTCACTTGTTATACTCGTGAGCCTTTCGAGTTTGTTTAGGTTTTATTCTGCTGGATTTTTCTTACATGATGAGGATATATGTCGCCATTTTTATGGTGTGAAGGATGTTTATGATAGTTTTGATGTAAAAGCACTGAGTTCTCGCGTTGATGAAGTGCTCGATAAGATGGAAAGTTTGCAAGATAAGATTGAATTGATTGTACAAGAGATGGAGAAGAACAAAAATGAGTTAGAAAAAGGGAGTATTCCCAAATTGGAATACAAGAAGTTCTTGGAAGAAGAGGTGATTAAGCCTTTATACTCTGCTCATATTGCCCTTAGGCAAATTAGGATGCCTAGAGTTGAAGGAATTGGGAATGTGACTATTAAGGAACATCCCTTGATTAATAATTTTGTGATTGAGGAGATTCGAAAGTATATTACCCCGAAGGAGAATAGACATAAGAAGGTTAATATTTTTGGAACACAGATGATTTATAACACGATAGGGCATGCTTGTGCGTCGATGAAGAAAGAATTGGAGGAATATATGGATTATGATATTGGATCTTATTGTAAAGATGATTGGAACATTGCTCAGAAGCTTATGATTAATGGTTGTGATCCTTTGCCAAGGAGAAGGTGTTTGACAAGGGCCTCTAAGCTCTATCAGAAGCCTTATCCAATTAACGAGTCCTTATGGAGGATCCCAGATGGGAGAAATGTTAGGTGGAGCAATTACCTTTGCAGGAACTACGAGTGTTTATCGAGTAAGAATCCTAAAAGAGGTTACACTAAGTGCACCGGATGTTTTGAAATGGATAAAGAAGAGATAAAATGGGTAACAAATTCTTCACTTCCTGTGGATTTCTTGATCAAAGATGTATTGGCAGTTAAGCCAGGGGAGATCAGAATTGGTCTGGATTTTGGCATTGGAACGGGGACTTTTGCTGCAAGAATGAGAGGGCAGAATGTGACAATCATTACGACTGCACTGAATCTTGGAGCTCCTTTCAGCGAGACGATAGCACTTAGGGGTTTGATTCCACTATATGTGACACTGAATCAAAGGCTTCCATTCTTCGACAACACTATGGATTTGATCCACACTGCTGGATTTATGGATGGTTGGATCGATCTACAGCTGTTAGACTTTATCCTATTTGACTGGGATCGCGTTTTGAGACCAGGAGGCTTGTTGTGGATTGATCGATTCTTTTGTAATAGGACTGATCTGGATGATTTTATGTACATGTTTCTGCAGTTCAGGTACAAAAAGCATAAGTGGTCTATTGCTCCCAAGGCCAAGGATGAAGTTTATCTTTCTGCATTATTAGAAAAGCCTGCTCGATCTTTATGATCATACGAAGCATTAGAGCTCATGTCTTTGTTACACTGACATAATATTCGTAGGATTTATCTGCAACATTTGTTCTAGTGTCTGCAAACTGTAAGAAACTTGTGGTTCTCTTTGTTATACTTCACATGGTATTCATAGGATTTATCTTGTGTCTGCAAAACTGTAAGAAATTTGTGGTTGGTTCTCTTTGTTATCTAAAGATTCAGTCTCCGTTGTCATAAAATGCATATTTCTTTGTACATTAACCATTTGAATGTTATTATATCACAATTCAGCGAGACAAACAAATGATACTTCTGCTTATAACACAGCTACATTGCTTAAACACCATGGCTAACAATTGCAGTTGAACTCTTATTTACCCACAACAGTTTGACCTTTCTATAGTTTGCAGTTTCTGCACTAAAATAGAGGGGCTCACTTTGTACATGTTATCTAAAGACTGGGTACTAATATTTCTGAAGAGTAGTACTAATCCAAGAGTTATGCTTGTCTTCTATGGGGGTCAGTTTCAAACGTGATTTATAAGAATGACCTTGGAGGTGGGTGTCCTCGCTTGCATCATGGGCAAAACTTTAAGCTTAACAACTTTTGACGTTTAAGATTTGCCATGAGACAAATGAGACTCAAGTTCAAGACCACCAATTTTGAAGGTCATTGGGGGTAATTTCCTGGTTTCTATCAGGAAATCGACCAGCTAATGTATAAGGCAACCTAATGCATGAAACATCATCCAGCGTTAGCATGATCCAAAGAAGGGCCCCACCCCAAGATAATGTCAAATCAAACAGCATAGTTTAGGGGGTGGGGTGGGCGATGTACTAAAGTAAAGAGCTAAGGAGCCATGCCAAATGCTAATTCCTTTATCTATTGTTGAAATATAATAAATAATTTCAATGTTCTTTTTTGTTATAATACAGAGGAGATGGACATAAACTGTAGTATTCAAAAGTCAAATACAAATCCTTAAATTAAAGCATGAGAAATATTTTAAGGGACTCAGACAGCAACATCCAAATTAAAGATGCTTGTTATTGGACTCATATACACTGACATTTCAATTGCTTTAATTAATTTATGGAAATCATTATAATGACCAATCATAGCAAAATTCAAATTGTCTATGACATACCGATAAGCACTTGTCTTTTTTTTCTTCTTTCTTTTGAGAAAATAAAGAAGTTAATATAGTCATCATGTGCATGATTGCATATATCTGTACCAATAGTGTGTATCGACAATTCGTTTGAATTGGAAGGTTATTGATCGGTCTATATATTAATTCAACTCATTTTGATTCATTCACTTTTGTACCTCTAAAAGTGTAATTGATATGTAATTCAAATTGATCTATGAAAAGAATTGTCAATTTCATATTTTAGGAAATCATTTTCGTTTTGACATTTTATATATAATCATAATAAACAAAATAATAATAATTTAGGTACTTGAATAAAAAATTTTTTTAAAGTAATTAATAAGAGTTGAGCGGTTTATGCTATGACTCATTATTTAGCTCATATCGACCCAACTCATTACATCTCAAGTAGTCAAAAAACAATTTAGTACTGACCCGCATATCAACCCTCTTGAATTCAATTTAACCTCCACATTTCATACTCATGTCCAAAATATTCCTAGTTACCCCAGAGCTCATTATTAAGATTTAAGGCTCTTACTACTGAATTGTTTGACCAATTCAAGTGAAGTTGTTCATCTTGTACTAATAATTCATGGAAATTGATGGCAAAAACACTTCAACAACATTGATCCTATAAAGTATTAGTAGTTTAATAGAAGTATTAAATCAACTTTTCAAGAAGGCGTCAAGCCTTGCTTTAATTTTGTATTTTTCTATATTGAAATTATGTAAGAGTGATGTGTCTCTTGTTTTAATTAATTAAAGTTTGCCAAGTTTGAACGCATATATGAAAGCAACGTTGTTTAATTAAAGAAAGTGAATTATTGTCCCATAGCACAGTAAAATTTTCACGTATAAATATTTTAATAGATGAATGATACGAGTAGTTTATATTCATGATAAGTATATATATACCAAAAGTCCAAAACATGAGAAATCATATCTTCGATTTTAGTTGATTGAATGAACTGAATTCTTATTTAATATGATAAATTTAAGATTATAAATTAAATAATATTTTAATACTCATATTATATATAGTTAAATCACAAAATTTAAATATTATATCTGATTAAATTAAGATACTTAAATTGTAGAAAAAATTACCTAAATACACAACTTATCTTACCTTTTTTTTAAAAAAATAATTCTACCATTTGAAAAAATTACAAAAATCTATACTCTCTATTATTCTCGGATACATCACTTTATGTGATGTATCGATTGGATACATCACCACGATATATCGGGACGTTGAGTGATGTCTTCGAAACCAAGGCGTGATGTATCGGGATGTTGAGCGATGTATCCGAAATCGAGACGTGATGTATTGGGACGTTGAGCGATGTATCTAAAATTGAGACGCGATGTATCAATACGTTTTGGGATGTATCCGGACTCCATCAAATTTAAGATATTTTTGTAGTTTGGAAAAAAATAGTGATAAGATGTAATTAGCGTTCAACACTATGAATTTGTGTAAAATTCGGCAAATTAGAACAACTTTCACATATAGCAAAGATAAAAATCTATTTGTATGTTATAGTTATAGTTTGCATAATTGCGCTCCATAACAAATTTTATGTTTGCTATGGAGCTTTTAATTTGTATAATTCGTTAGATACATCAAATTTTATACAAATTGTTCAGTTTTGTATAAATTCATTTATACATTGTAATTTGTATAATAAGATCTGTATTTATATAATTATAAATGTATAGGACAAAAATATACGTATTTATATTTGTATATACACTTTTCTCTCGCTTTATACAAACACAAACGCATTTTATACATTTGTATACCGAATGAGTAATTGTATATCAAAAATGACTAATTATATACTGAACCAGATGGCAAAAAAATAAAATATTTATTGTGAATTACAAATAAAATAAACTATAGCTATTACATTTAATTTGAATTAATAGTTTATTATTTCATACAATTTTCCAAAATTAAAATGGACGAAACACATATGGGCCAGGATGTCGAGTCATATTTGAGTCAACGCCTAACCTTGACAAAGTAAGGACTGAGGATCTTTTGGTCATTTCATACGGGCCTTTGCAGGCCTTATCGTGGTAATACGGTAGTTTGGCAATAACTACAGGGACAAATCAGAAAATACACTACTTTCGTTAGACCACTATCAGAAAAGGACAAACCGGCAAATATAGATAAAAGGCCCGCCCGCCAAGCAATATCCGAAAAGCTGTCAGGTTTAATTAAAACACCCCTATAACTTATCTTTTCTAAAATTCATGGTCCCATAAGTTTTGAATATGACAAGAAACAGCATATGTTTTCTTTTCCTCGTATAGTTTGAGGGCATGGAGTAACTTTGTGTTGAATACTTGAATTCAAACTCTATTTTTAGTCATCTCTATCTTTCTTTCATAATTATACACTTTTTCTTAGACATATTGGTTGTAAAATGTGTTAGGTGGATCGAATTTGAACGAATTAAAATGAATTGAGTTTATAAATTAATTGGTTATTTGGTTAGAAGCCCATTTAATCTTTACCTAGTTTTAACTTCTTTGTTATAGTATTATATTTTATTTAATTACCCAATTCAATTTATATCTCGCTCAAATAGATCCAATTGTTAGATGGACTGAATTGAATAGGTCAATTAGATTGTAGAAGTTACTAACTTTTTTTATGGAAGTCGAGCCCCTTCTGTGACGTGGTCTTAGACTAATTAATCGTGATGAACCAAGAATTAATATAAATAGACGAATTATTAATCTGCACAAATTAAACTTAGATGGACTTGCCAAATAATATTACCATGGAGGAGGGGAGGGGGGGGGGGGGGTTAATCCACGGTAAGAGCTTTTTCTAATTTTTATTTCTAACTAATACAATTAGATAAAGAAGCAGTTTATATCCAAAGTTATACTATCATTCCCAAGGGAGTAGCTTCTATATATAAAAATCCTTATTTGTTTATCTAAATTCAAAGATTCTAACTACTTGCCTTTGTTTTTAGAAGTCACAATCAAACTATGAATAGACTAGATAGTTACCTATGAGAAAGGCAAAGAAAAAAAAAGTAGTACTAATAAAATAAATTTAGACAAAGAAAACAAAATGGCAATTCCAAAATTATCACAAACCCTATGGCTTAATTCACATGGTTTCATATACACAAATACACTATATATTGCATAGTACCATTAAACCATACAAGTAAGTTAGCCAAATTACAATTTTTTTTGGCCAAACACATACACAACCCCTCAAACTTGCCCTCATTTTTCATTTTGCCACTCCAACTTAGCCTTGTTTCATTTTAACCCTTAAACTCTATTTTTTTATGTACCATTTAAACACTAATACTAACTTTTATGATTTTTTTTATTTATGTTCTTCAATTGCAATTTTTTATTTTTAAAAAATAGACGTGTGTATGTTAATTTTCGTAAAAAAATTAAACATTCGCGAACGAACATAAAAAATTTCAAACAATAATATTATTTTTTGAGATTTCTCTGTATTTTTGCATGAAAGTAAATTGACGAAAGTTCTTTGATTCCCTTTCTTAAACATTCAATTACATTAAATAACACTACTTATTTATTATTTCTTATCATCTAGGCTATCTAAATTTAATGAAATACTCACTTTTATTTTTAATATAAATCAATACGAATAAAAAAACTCATCTTCAATACGAGTAAAAAAGATTCTTGTTCATTGCTAATAACACTACTAAAAAATGTTAAAACTCGACTGACTTTAATTTGTTAGATTGTCAGTGATTTTTAAGAAAGAAAACCAACACAATTTCGTCGGTTATTTTTCACATAAAATACATAAAACTCTTAAAAAGAAATTATTATTTTTTAAAAAGAATTATTTTCTGTTAATTTTT